ACACCCAGATTTTTTATTTTTATTTATAAAAAAAAAAAAAAAAACAATTAGAATAACCAAAATACACACAGTGCCCACTTATTGTTGGGTCTCACTCAATTGACAACAGGTTTGCCCATCCAAAAGGGACGTCTCAAGGAATTCTTTGTGTCCCTCCTCCCTCTCTCTTCTGCCCCCATTATGTTACCTTAGTGGTGTGATTTTATGTGTGTTAGATAATTCAAAAGGGTTCTGAAAAATTGTGGACCCTTTCACACATGTTAACATTGTCAGATTTCTCAGCAACAAGAAAATTACGAGAGGGTAATTGTGGAAATCTAGAGGATGACAACAAGAATGGGTAATGGACCTAGTGTTGGAGGGTAGCGTCCCTCCACTGCGCTTCCATCCCCATGTTGTGTAGACATGCTTTTGTTTTGTTTTGTTTTAAGATTCGAGAAAGACCAATGGCAATGGCCTCTAAGCAATTTCAACACAAATAAAATTCATTGTCTAATACATAAATTTGATCTAAGACATGCTCAAATATGAAAACTCAATTCGAAATTAATTTATGAAAAAAAGTTTATATATATATATGCTTAGATAGGAGATCGCCCTCATCATTATAATCATAGCGAGAATACATGTCCATTCAACTGATTAATTTTTTAATTCAAATTTAGTTTAATTTGTAAATTATTTTTTATTATTATTTTTTTCCATTCATCAAGTTGGTTAATGAGTCGAGATTAAGGGCGGATCCAGAAATGCATAATGTGGTGGGCTAATCTATTCTGTGTGGGATAGTACTACTAATTTTTTTTTTTTGACTGGGCTAAAATTACCTCTAGTAATTTTTTTTTTTGTTTTTTTTGGGATTGGCTTGAATTCGCATGTTGAGTTGACATTAAATTTGAAACTTGTTTGATTCACGAGTCTCGAAATCAAGACGGATATCACTTTGAGGGTTGGACAGCTCTTCGGTTAAAACAACACCACTCTTGCTCAAGGAAATTGATATATAAGCCGAAATAGCTAATCTATTTTCTGAACTTATGCATTTTAAGTATTGAGTTAGGAGTACTGTGCGATACCACGTAAAAGTATCGGGTACTGTATATTTTCTCATTCGGCCATTGAAAAAGTAACAAACTTGATGTGTGGTACTCTTGTTCTACCTCCATACTTTTCAGCTACAATGTGATGACAATTAATTCCCTGTACTTTTGATCGATCAATTCATTCAATGTTTTTGTCCAAACAGCGTGCGTTACATAACTGAAACCATTTCCCATGCCTAAATGTAAAAAGCATTTGAGATCCAAAGCATATACATATACACTGTGTGTATATATATATATTCAATATGCTTAATTGGATTTACCAAACAATTGGTCTTAAATACTGGTTGGGGTGTGTGAGAGTTAGCACATGACATGTTCATCTTCAACAAAAATTGTTTGGTCATTATGGACTCTTTCAAAGATGACTACTACTACTACTAGCCTAAGTCACGCAATTTTTCTCAACGGGAGTTGTTCTCACGTTCCGCGCACGCTTTAACTCAAATTCTCACTATTTATAACTTAATTCTGCCGCTATCATGTTGTCGCTCTCGAATTTACTCTCTCCTACTCCTGTTTTACGTGACTTAACTACTAGACAAAACTCGTGACAATCTTTGCACCCCGTTAATGCTCATTTAATTAGGAGGTTTTGCTGATAATCCTAATTACACGGTCTTTTTTTTGGAAAACTGATAAAAGTTCTGAATCAATATTAGCAATTGATGTGTCTATTGTAAATTTGAACACTTTAAAATGAGAGACACCTGTACTTATACATCACTAATTAATGCTTTGGTCAGTAAGTAGAAAAAAATAATAATAATAAATGGAGGAAAGATAGGAATAAAGGAACAAACTTATTTGGTTCGGTATAAAGGAGACGATAAGATAAATGATAATATGATGAATGAATCATTCTTCTTTCTTTACAAATTTTCAATCCTCTAGTATGAATAGAAAAAAAAATAAAAAAGGAAAAAGGGAGGAAGATAAATAGGCTATTATATAAGTTTTAAATTATAATACTATAAATAGTAATGGTTATAATGGTAAAAATAATTTAACACTATTTGTTTCTTCCTCCACTAACAAACACAATAAATGATGAATTTATTCTCTTCATTTCCTTTCAACCGAACAAAAAGAGGAAAATATACAATTTTTTTTCTAGTGATGTCTCATCCATATTTTCTTCTCTCTTTTCTATCAATATTTGTTTTTCCTTTCCGCAGGACTTACTTTCAAAACTACGTAGTTTTTATCCCCTAAAAAATGACTTGCCATTTTAAGACATAAATATAAAGATAAAGGAAATGTTAACATGAGAAAAATGAAAAACTTACGATAATCTAGAGGATCCTAGTCCCTTCAATGAAAGTTTTGACCTTATTTAAGAACTGAATTTGTTTTTTTTTTTAAATAAAAAAAGAAAGAAAAAAGAACTGAATGTTGGAGGCCCAATGACCTCTACTGGGCCGAGTCCAAATTAAACAATTATTCAGAGTTTATTCTTTTCGTAATACGTGTTTCTTTTCTTCTTCTTTTTAAATTTTAAAAAACTTTTCCCTGGTAGTTTTCTTCGCTAAGCCCAACTACATGTTGGGCTTCCCGCTTTATTCTTGCCGGTGCCCCTCTTTCAAATTGGGCCATTAATGCTCAAAAAAAGCTGCAATTAAAACTTGTTAGCTCAGTTGCAAATACATTTTCGACCTTCTAAAATTGGAACGAGGAAAAACCGTAATACAAATATTTAGTGAACTCTTAAAAAGGTATATGGGCACAGTTAAACAAGATCATATTATAAGAGGATGTAGTTTAGGGTACCTTTTCATATTTCAAGGTAGAATATTGAGTGTTCGGAGAAAAAGAAATAAAAAAGAAAAAAAATGCAATTCACAGATAAAATAGAAAGAACAATCGGACATATGTTGCATTTGAGAACATCCTATAGGCCCCTTAAAATTGAGAACAGAAAATTCAGTTTTAAAATCCCAAACATAACATGAATTCTTGTATGAAATATATTATATTTATATATCATGTTTTCCAAACACTTTAAAATATGATACTGAATAGAGAGCTGAAGATTTTTGACCCTGTTTGGACCGTCAAGACGTCAAATCGGCGGGCTGATAAATTTTTATTGAACGATTTCGATGAATCCATTTTTGACCCCAAAAAGCGCCTAGTTTTATCATAAACGGTCCAATTCGCAGATATTGGTAACTTAGTTGATGAGATAGGATATTTTTTTGGCCGAATTCAATTGTTTGGGATTTTCGGTACAAGACTAAACGAATTTGATTTGCTTTTTTTTTTGGTATTTAACAGTTTTCAATAACTAGATTTCTTTCCTTATTTTTACAGAATTTTCTGAATAAGTTTATTTTTGAGTAATTTTTTGGCACTGCAAGTTTTTTTTTGCAGGATTTCTTTCCGAACAAATCATTCATCCAATTATTAATATATTATCAAATTTCTCTACAAATTTTTTTTTTTTTTTCTTTCTTGTGAATTCAAGATAATCTTTGTTTCTTGAGTTCTTGTGACCGTTTATCACTTTCGCTTACACGAAAGCATATTATATAACATATCCATTATCAATTTTCCTGGTTGGAGGGAGGATTTGTTAAAGCATGTTATGGATCTTTTCATGAAGTGGATCATTAATATTTAATTATACATGTTTGGGTCCATTCATGCTGCACATTATGAGTATTACTATCCAATAGTTGGTTGTGTTAGTGCATCACCTCTCTCAAAGTGGCATGCATATCCGTGGTGTGTATGTATTTGACTTTGTACTCCGCCAATCACGCAATAAAGGCAAATGGTGACATTACATCTTTTTTCGTGATCAAGTTCACATGCTACAAACTACAAAGTTTAGGTCGTTGGTGCTATATATATATATTATCCTATTTTATTTTAAAAGGAAATACAGAAATAAAATCATGTGGTCTAGACGTGGTATTGTACAACTAGGTACCTCTGATGATAAGAACGACACATTAAGATATTGGGTTTAAACCTAACTAGACCTATATCAGGTTGGAAAGAAGAAAAGGGAAGGAATTGAAAGAAAATAGGAATAAACTTTAATTGTTAGCTAAATAAATTAAAACTTTATCATTATAATAATACCACCTCTTAATTTCTTTTCCTCCCACCCAACTAAATAAATTAAAAAAATATAATAAAAATAATAATAATATCACCTCTTTCTTTCCCTTCTTTCCCTTCCACTCAACTAAACTAAAGGAAGGGTCAAAGGGATGCATTACCACTCTCCAATAGTTGGTTGGGGCTCCCTTTCCTAGAGATCTTGTTGTGTCCTTCCTCCTATCTCTTCCCTCTCGATTTTCATCCTCCATACATGTTAGATTATATATATGTATACACACATCTAGGGTTTCTTGTGTAGCCATCTTCACCTATTTTATTAGAGGTTATATGTACAATCATTCACTTATTCATAAATATTTTTCTATATATTGAACGTTTTGTATGGATTACAATGTATTAAATTAAATATACAAATTTCATTACTTCTAATCATTATATTAGAGTTAAATGTCTCGAGTTCACCTAAATCTTTAATACGACTAAAGTATAATTAATGTTATATATATATATATATTTTCACGGTACCAAATGTACCCTTAGTGAAGAAACAATGATGCCAGATGATAAAAAAATAAATGCGGAAAAATTTTAATTAAAAAACAATTCCTATATAGGTATAAAAGAATAAAAATATTAGTGTTACAAGTTATTTTTATTTCTTTCTTACTTTTTTACCTGGTTTACCATATATATTGCGAAGTTATTTTCATAGTCCACCAAGTTAGGTTAAACACATAAATGTCTTAAAGGGTTATGGATATTTTTGTAATTTCAGCTACAAGCGACTGCACGAGAGAGAAGGACGATACGTGGTGGGTGCAGCACGAATGGTGGTATTGAGAAGTGAGCGAACCCAATCAAAACTGAAACCAACTCTCCATTAAAATTGTTGTCAAATCCCACTTAATACAACAGCTCAAAGCGTTTCGTCTCTCTCTCTCTCTCTCTCTCTTCTGGTTCATTTTTCATTTTCTGTTCTTTGTAGCCTTTCATTTGTTCCTTTCGTTGGTGGGTTGAATTGGGTTGCAACAATAAAAGGCTCTTCACAAGTGTGCATATACATAATATATATATACATATTTGGTGTTTCTCATCTTGGGTTTGAGTTTCAGCTGAAAAAAATACGCTGCTCTGTCTCTTGGGTTTCAAAAGGTCAGAGCTTTAACTTTATATCTCTGTTTGCCTTTCCATAGATTTTAGAATTTAATAGTTGGATTCTCTCTCTAAATATATGCAGACATATAGATTGATTGAATTTGTTATGTCTATATTAATCTTAGAACATGCAACTGTTGTCAAATTGTAATTCAAAGTAGCTATTAAGATGCACTTTGTTTCTTTTTTCCTTGTTGAGAAAACAGATAAAATAAAAAGACAATTTTTGGAAAATTTCGATTTCATTTTCCTCTATTTCCTCATCGATGAATAGGGTTACTAGAAAGGAACCTGCTTGACCTTGATCTGGTTTTGGAATTGTCTCTCTCTCTCTCTCTCTATATATATATAGTCTAATAGTAATATGACTCATATGTTATTCACACATATTTGGGTTCTGTCTATAAATTTCTATTTGCTAGTTGTCTCTTATTATTGTGGGGATCTAGTGTGATGCAATCTGAATTTAGAAGCAACTGTAAAAAAATTCACATGGGTGTTTAAAAATTCATATCTGGTAGGATTACATAAATGATCCAGTAACCTTAATTTGATTAAAAATGATGGGGTAACAAGCTTGTTACTGATAATCTGGTAAAACGGCAGTCAAAGACACCTAGAATTTATAAAGTTATGAACCTGTTTGCGTTCATTGCTTTTTTTTTTTTTTTTTGATGAGTTGTGTTCATTGCTATTTCCTAGGTGGGCTATGAGTGTTACCAGAATTTCAGTAAAAGCTTGGAAGTCTACTGGTGTCAACTGTCATCTTGGTTTAGGGGGTTATGCAAACATATATATATATATATATATATATATATTGGAAAATGCTAAACATCACAATTATTGTATTGCGAAAATAACTTGAATTACATGGCAATGATATGGCAACTTAACTTTGTCCAGAGAATACATGGTAGGATGAGAGAAAAAATAGAAAAAATTTGAACCTTAAAATAATTCTTTAGAGACGTTTTATGGATTTTCTCTTCAATAAGAACCTTAATTTTCTCAACCAATTTTTGTGTGTAAATAATTAAATAAATACACAATTCACTTAAAACTTCTTAAAACTATATTTTGAGTAATCTTTCTCTTGAATAAGAATTCTAATTTCATCAATGATCTACATGTGTAAATAATTTGATAAATAAGTAATCAACTTCATGTTTATCATAATTATAAAGTCGAGAATGCAGAAGAGAATATATATATATAATAAAAGTAGAGAAAAGAAAATTAGAGAAAGAAACCTAATTTAATGTTCATCTTCACTTCTCCTTCATTGGGTAATTCACACAAATATGTATATATATATATATATGTATGTATGTATATCATCTGCTCATCTTTGAATTTGTATGTTTTCTTAATTTAATTATAACTTAAATATGTTAATACTTCAACAAGAAGAAAAAGAAAGTGTAATATCTATGAAAATTGAGGACATATTATTCTTTTTATTAGCACCACATCATATTCAAGATGCATACCTCGAATTTTATTCGAGACGTGTAGCATTGCCCATATATATTTTATGGCTTTATTAACCCAAATCATAGGTTGCAATGGTTCCTGTTTTTGAACTGACTTCTGAAGTTGAATGATTTGATTAATATACACAACAGCACAAGGATGATAAGTTTGAGCACAACTAGTTTGTACAGAGAAGCAGTAACAAAACAAGAGTGTTAAATTGGGGAGATGGATAACAAATTTTTATCAGCAAAATTGGACCTAATAACAAAAGTCTATATTGAGAAGTAATGATTGAAATTATAATTTCAATCATAAATAGGTTGAATCTATTATGTAATTCTTGATGAATGGACGGTGTCTTACTAGTAAAATGGTACAAGGGGAACCTTCTGAAAAAGAAAAAAAAATGGTACGAGGGGAAATATATTTTTTTTCCCTAAATCAAGTTCTCAATTTATATTAAGAATATTTTTAACTGGCCTGGAATTCTTAATGAAGTGTTAGTAAAATTATAAAATAAAATAAAATAAAAAAGGAACTCTGTTGCAATCTGCTATGAAGGCCAGGCAACTTTAACAAACTATATAGTCAATGTAAATCCAGACACCATTTTTGATACTGGTGTATACACGAGTTGGGTTGTGATTATAATGATAGGTAAATTCTATCTTAAGTTGCTAACACACATGTTGGAAATAAAATGCCCTATTGTTGGGAAATGTGTTTACTCCAACTCCAAGCACATCCGCAAGATTAGGGGAAGTTAATCTTTGTATCTTGTGAATCATTTTCATAAGTGGCCTTTTTGTTTTTCTTTCATTTATGGGAAGGACTGCTTCTCTGCCGTGTGGTTAGTAACTCGAGTCTCTGGATTTCAATTCCACCGACTTTAGTTGCAATTACAACATGGCTTTGTAATTTGCCAGCCATACTGGTAATTGTTCTTTCAAGATTCTCTATAAATCTTTCATACCAGTCAATTGATCATATTCCTTCGCCTCCATATTTTTGTTCGCTTGAATTTCTTGATTCCTTTGTTCAGCTTGTCCCTGATTTTCATGCCACTATGCGTCGAGAAATTGTTTTAAATAAGAAAAATTATGAACTTGCTGCACATAATCATAATAGGAATCATGCATTCATTGAAAGAGATTCTAATTCATTGGTCATTGTTAGTTTCTATTTGTTAAACAATTGTCTTAATTAATTACTGCTTACACATGGTGCAGTACCAACTGGGCAAGTGTTATAGCTCTTCCCCGTGTTCACAATTCTCCCACTTCAATTAAAATATCATAATTAATGAAGCGGAAGTTATAAACGTTCACGAATGAACAAGAACAACTTTGAATCCACAAAGTTAAAAAGAAATTTGCAAGGTAATATAAGAAAACTACTCAAATTTCAACTTTCTCTAAAATTTATTAATAAATGAATAAGAAGCTTTTTTCAAGTCATACTTTAATGCATCCCACAAAACGTCCAAAAACTTCCAGGAGGTTTCTTAGTACATCTATTGAATTTAGGTATCTTTCATTGAAGTTATATAATTTTTGCCTGACTGGTAAGTCACTTGATTTAACTCCCTCATTTAGTGAGGTGTTGATCTTTTTGTTGCAAATCCTTTAACTCCTTCGAGAAATTCCAAGCCCTTGATGTCATGGCTTCGAACCACACATGCAAGTTCGTTTGGATGAATTCTGAAGCCCGATTCTCGAGCCTCCTGCAAGGGCTTGTATTCTTCTTGCAAGTCACATCAATAAAATCGAATGTAACCAACAGGCAGTGGCCTAGCGGTACCAAGTTCCTACTTCTCAAAGAGAGGCCAGGGGTTCGAGCCTCAGTGGAGGCGTGTGTGTGTGAGTATCAACTAGGAAAAATAAATAAAATCGAATGTCGCCTTTTGAACGTACAAAGCCACTTGTAATTTATCTTGATGGTTGAACTCTCCCATACCATCTTGGACATTCAATTTAGATATTCATTGGCCCCCATCTACTAATTCATGTTGTTCTCTTTCATCAATGAACTTCTTGTCACCATTCTCTTCTTTTGCAGTGTTGAAATCATTTTCTTTGTCTACCAGCTTGTGTATAGGAATTGATGTTTTTACATCCTTAACTTCATCATCTTCAACTAAAAAGGGGAAGCAACAATAAAATTTTGCTTCCAATCAACCTTATTAAAATCGCTGGCTACTTTTAAAAAATTATTATTATTCTTGATACCACTTTATTTATTGTAAAATTCCTCTGTAGTCTCATTGACATACTAGCTATCTTTCCTGCAATCCTGATACTGGTGATACAACATGTGCTCATAAATCTAGTGGTAGGAATTTAGCAATCAATAGTCGTTTACCCAAAGGGCCTGCACTCTGCAATCATTGTCGCCAAAGTGGTTACTACCAACACAATCAATCGCCATCAAACCAGGGTAAGACAAGAATCTGATACATTGATGGAGCAGAAGCTAGTTCACGAATTAACAAGAACAACTTTGAATCCACAAAGTTAAGAGAAAATTGCATACCATTCTGATATATTATTGATAATTGAATTAATTTTAAATTGTGCTCTTGCAATACATGCATATTTATAATAGAGAAAACCTGACACTATAAGGGAAACTAACAACATAAGGAAACCTAATAATAGAAGGAAACTTCATAGTATAAGGTAATATAAGGAAACTGCTCAAATTTCAACTTTCTCTTAAAATTATAAATAAATATATAAGAAACCTAATTATTAAAACTACTAAGAAGTTGATAAACTGTCCTACATGAATAATAGATGTGCTTCTGTGTCAATGGTGAAAGAAATCATGTGGATTTTTTTCCGTGGTCGGTTAAAAGGCAGCAATGCATGCGCTTGGAGCAATATATAGAGTTTTAAGCCCTGACCTTCTTACTAAAACTTAGGAGTGATAATGTCCTGTTAACAGGCTAATGCTTTAAATCGTTTGGAAAAAAAAATTGTGGTAGAGCATGTTTGTATGTAAGCATTCTTCAGATTCTTATCTCCATTCACGAGAAGGAAATGGAGGTTACTCCTAAATCATATCAAAGAAATTGCATGCATGCTAGAGCATGTTTACTTCTCTGAAAATTATAAATAAATATCTAAGAAAGAGCATGTTTACTTCTCTGAAAATTATAAATAAATATCTAAGAAACCTAATTACTAAAAACTACTAAGAAGTTAATAAACTGTCCTACATCAATAATACATGTGAATCTGTGTCAATGGTGAAAGAAATCATGTGGATTTTTTTTCGTGGTCAGTTAAAAGGCAGCAATGCATGCATGCTATGAGCGATATATAGAGTTTTAAGCCCTGATCTTCTTACTAAAACTTAGGAGTGATAATGTCTGTCAACAGGCTAATGTTTTAAATCGTTTGGGAAAAAGAATTGTGGTAGAGCATGTTTGTATGTAAGCATTCTTCAGATTGTTATCTCCATCCATGAGACGAAATTGGAGGTTACTCCTAAGTCATATCAAAGAAGGGTCCATGTTCTACTTACCAGAGTGGACAATCTAGGCAGCTCTATTGATGAACTGAGATCTTCTTCAATGTTATTTTGCTGATATATGGAGTTTTAAGCCCTGACCTTCTTACTAAAACTAGGAGTGACAATGTCCTGTGAACAGGCTAATGCTTTAAATCGTTTGGGAAAAAGATTTGTGGTAGAGCATGTTTGTATGTAAGCATTCTTCAGATTCTTATCTCTATCCATGAGAAGAAATTGGAGGTTACTCCTAAATCATATCAAAGAAAGGTCCATGTTCTACTTACCAGAGTGGACAATCTAGGCATCTCTATTGATGAACTGAGATCTTATTCAATGATATTTTGCTGATTCCACATCTTGACCAGAGTTTGCCTTTTCTTTTTCTGTTGAAACACCACATACCTTCACTATACACTGATCAGAGCTACGTGTTCTGAATTTTAAAGTTGTAAATATTTCTGGTAGTTTATGTAAACGGTTCTTTTCTCTTCCTTTTCCTTTGTGAGTTATCATGTGTTCTAGATACCATAGTTTTGTACCTGTTGAGTGGATATTTGATTAAGCACCACATACATGTGAAAAATGTGATTAGTGGTTAAAATTGTGTATGCCATAGAACTGGAGTTTTTTTTTTTTTTTTTTTTTGGGGGGGGGGGGGGCGGGATCGTAGGACTTGATTTTAAGATTCTACTAAAATACAATAAAAATAACTCAAAACTAACTTCTGATTTTTGTTTTTTAAGTTGGGTCCCTGCTTTATGTTTTTTTTTTTTTTACCTTATAATATATATATATATAATAATGCAATTAGGCTTTATACTTTAAGCCTTAAATTTCTTTGCCTAGAATGGGCTGTAGTCCCAAAAAAATAAAAGAAGAACAAAATAACTCCATTTAGTAGGATTGGTAGGATTGTGCGATCCTTTACAATTCTATGACCCTAATGCGATCGTCCAAATGAAGAACAAAACAACTTCATTTAGTAGGATCGGTAGGATCATGCAATCCTTTACAATTCTATTATCCTACTGCGATCCGACCTGGGTGTAGGTCCAAAATATCCAAAAGAAGAACAAAACAACTCCATTTAGTTGGATCATATGATCAAATACCTACTTCCTATCCCGCTTTCAAGAGATTTTTTATGCAATCCGGATTGATTTAGCACTTTGGGATTGTTGGATTGTCCGGATCACGATTTTAACATCTATCTTAGACCAGATCCAGTTCATTTTTTTAACCTTTTTTTTACCACGTCCTTGATTTTGAGTTTATTTAATTTGTAAGTTTTACCATATTTACTATATAAATCTGACATTTATTTTAGGCTTCACAATCTGCTCTATCTTATATTTTTGTGCTGCCATTGCATGGACTCTTCCTAACACCTTTCATTGCGCGCACTTTTGGCCAGGCACAGTTTGACTTACACCCCGTGTCTGACTTTGTCCTACTTATTGACAATGGGAGGTGTAATGGGAAAGGATGGTTCAGCTCATATAACAGAATCAAAGCTCGGGACCAAAATAGTTGAAGCTATGCAACGGAGAGCATCAGAAGGAACTCACATGAAATCGTTTAACAGCATAATATTGAAATTCCCCAAGATTGATGAGAGCTTCAGAAAATGCAAAGCTATATTCGAGCAATTCGGTAGGTACTCAAATTTAGTTTCACATGTTGTAACGTTAGATGCTGAAAATTAAGCATCAAAGTCACTTTGTCTTGTACACGTCAAAGACAGACTTCTACCGCTAAAAATAAATTATAATTATCTCACAATACCTCTGTAGACTTTGAAGATCTCTATTCTTAGATTTACAAAGAGATTCTTCTTTTGGGAATGAACTGCCTTTTCATCTCCAACAACCTGACCCCATTTGGTATTATGATGTGCAAATTAGTTTGGTGATTCTAGACTTCTAGTGGTGCAATAAGTGTTTGCTTTCTGTGATATGTGTTTTTTTTTTTTTTTTTTCACCTGCTAAGTTCACTGTTTTTCTTCGTAGATGAGGATAAAAATGGAGCAATAGATCCCCAAGAATTAAAGTGCTGTTTTCGTAAACTGGAGATTAATTTTTCAGAGGAGGAAATCAATGATCTCTTTGAGGCATGTGATATCAATGAGGATATGGGAATGAAATTCAGTGAGTTCATTGTGCTTCTCTGCCTTGTCTATCTTCTGAAGGAGGATCCCACTGCCACTCCTGCTGTATCCAAAGTACTTTGCTTTGTCTAAGCTTGAGTTCATTGCTTTTATCGTTTTACCTGATTCATACAAACATATCATGATCGAGTTGTGCCTTATTTTATGAATTTGATATTTATGTCCTTTCATCTTCAAGGAGGTAATACCTCATATGTCATACTAATGTGACAGGTCTATCAATTAATCTGAGGTTTTATTTTCCGCTTTGTAAGATCTCGCCCTATGTCTTGATTCCAGAATTTTTAACAAATCTTAATGTAGACAATTATTCATTCAAAAAATAATTAAAAAAATTAAAAAATGGGATGAATTTGTTGCTTACTCCGGTATGATGTCACAGTCACTTGTAGATTTTTTGGTTTGGCCCGTCTTAGTCTCATATTTATGTTACACCCTTCTCTCATACTACCATATTGACTTTTAACTATTTGGTGGGTCCTGTCTCATCATTCTCCTAGAACTTGTTTCTAGGATGGTCCAGTTTATGTCAATGATAGACTCAAAGGACCATCAAAAGTTATCTTTAAAGTGAATGTTTTCAATTCTTAGACCCAAACTTTCATATTAATTCCAGGGGTGAGCTGGAAGGCAGTTTTAACCTCTATACGAGCAAGCAATGTCTGAGGCACAAAAAGGGCTGCCATCTTGCCATCCCAGCATCCCTAAGTAGCATCAGTAGGATGTTTATTTATTTATCTATTCTTAACTCCTTTCCTTCATTTGTTATTTTCAATGACATTTGTAGAAATCACGGATGGGGATGCCAAATTTGGAGGCTACATTCGAAACGTTGGTTGACACATTTGTGTTCCTGGACAAGAACAAAGACGGCTATGTAAGCAAGAGTGAGATGATCCAAGCAATAAATGAAACAACTTCAGGGGAACGTTCATCTGGACGGATAGCCATGAAACGATTTGGTTAGCTCTCTCTCTCTCTCTCACACACACACAAACAGAACATGTATAATGACAAAATACGGCATGCAAAATGTATAGGCATGAATATATGCACGAAAAAAAAATAATAATAAAATAAAAAGAAGAGAGAGAGATCACTAAGCGAAGTCCCACAATACTCTCTCACTTTGAAACAAGAGGAGATATGACTATGCCACAGACCTTGTTGGTTGCCTGACATAATTTGAACATGCCATAAATTAGAACTAAAATTGTATGTTCAGATGCATGTACACCAGCATGTGATTGATAAATCCTCAAAGATTTATTAAGAAAATATCAAAATAAATATCTACGTAGATTCCATGAAAAGCCTAACCATATTTTAAATACGGGAAGTATGAGAGAGGAATATATAAAATAAGGTTTGCACAGCATAATACAGTTTTTATAATTAAAGACCTTTTCTTTGTTATTGTGTTCCTTGGTGAGTTTTGTATAGTACTTTCTTAAGGTCGTTGGTACAGTCTGTGTCCATGCTTTATAGATGACATAATTATCTAAAAAAATTTTCTCAATCATTTTTGTCTTTTAGATTCTTTTTCACTAGTGAGCGATAGTTAGATGCATCTGTTACATTGTCATATCGGGTTTATACCTGCAGTTAAACTAAAATTTGGTGCATCCAAGCTGTTACATATGTGTCAATGTATTCATGTGTATCAGGGCACTCCTTGGAAGCCAGCAGTTTTACAAGCTTATTTGATTCCCCAAGCATAATAAAACCACTGGTGTTCAATTCTAGTTTTGATTAACTGAGACGTCTTCCATGATATGTTCTAGATCACCAGTCTTTTTTTCTATTGTTGCAGAAGAGATGGACTGGGATAAGAATGGAATGGTGAACTTCAAGGAATTTCTTTTTGCTTTCACTCGTTGGGTTGGAATCGATGACATTGAGGATGAAGAAGGGGAGGAGAACATTTGAATCAGATTTTTCGGGCATCTTCATCCATCTCCCATCTCCAGCTGTGCTTGGGATAAAACGGCAGCTAACTTTCTGATAGCAGATACATTCCTGCTTCTGCAATAATGGTGAAGTTAATATAAACCTGCAGGATCAAATCATACTTCCACTTCCCCTCCAAAAAAAAAAAAAAAAAATGGAAGAAGTTTGTAATGTAAATAGTGTGGGTTACTATTAATAAGACAGAACACACTTATTTGCATTCCTGATATTGTGTAATGTTCTGTAGTTTATTCTTAATTCCATGCCTTTATAGTGTCTATTCAGCAAAATGTCCTAGAGAGAATCGCAAGTGATGGCAAAAGGCCACATTTGTTCACAGCTACAATATTGCTTGATAGGAGAACTTCAACTTGCAAGCATTAGAGTGCTGTGGCAGATACTTGTTGGTGCTGTGGCAGATACTTGTTGGATACGGCTAGAAGTATCCTGAAAATTGAATATTTTATTTTCTAATTAGACATGGTTGGGATACAATATGACAGTGGTATGGATACGTTTTGTACACTTTTAGAATACAGCTGGTGGTTTTGTAATTTTTTTTTTTTTTTGGGAAAAAATAATATTTAATGCAATTTTAAACATATTATAGATTAATTAAAAATATATAAATTTTAAGAAAACAAAAATAACAAACATCTAGTTTTAAGCTCCAAGTTAGTGATTTTATCTATGATTATATATGTGAATAAAATGGCAATATATATATATATAATAATAATAATAATAATAAGTTATATTATAATTTTTGACAAATACATGCCAGATGCTAGGTAGCTGAAGTGGAGAGCAAGAACCCAACCTTCAGCTACCTAGCATCCAGATCCACTGGTTGAAGTGCAGAGAAAGATCCCAAGCTTCAGCTACTGCTCAGACTGTAATACCGTTCCATGTACCATATATTAAAAGAATAACCCAATTAGGAATCTTGATTTAAATAAATGCAACTGTCCATCCAACTTCATCTGTTAGACAATCGTGGAATCACAAGATGCCAGAGTCATTTCTACTAAGAAATTAATGCCCTATAAAATAAAATAAAATAAAATAAGACAATAAAATTTGGAGAAAGAAAAAAAGGAGAGCTGAAAAAACTTACAATTGCATTAACAAACCACAATAGATATATAACGCCTTTTAACAAATCTAAATACCGTCTACACTTTAGTAGTACAGAGCACTCCAATCATGATGATTTGCACTGTTCGCCTCACTTGTATACAACCATTTCTAAACTCTCATAGATATCTCTACCATATATCAAAACTTCCATCACAAACTTACAACAAAAACAACAATAGGACAGCTTTGGAGAAAGAATTTTCTAACCAAACTGTCTAAAGCAACATAGAAGAGCAAACTCCCGAACTCGGATGGTCCTTTACTATGGTACACAGTCACTAAGCCTCCCCATAAAGATAAACAACACACGTCATATCATATAGAACTGAAGTCAGAACCGACACTATGACAGTGCCAGTGCCCCGATGGCAGTTGGAGGAATAAGCTGCCAGTGGCACCTGTAGCATGGGAACAACTGTTGCAAGGCAGAGACAAACACAAGCTCCAAAAGCCCACTAATAAAGGGATTTCATTACCCCCTAGTCTTGGCCCTCTTCATACCGAGGCTGTTGTGGAAGGGGGACACCGAACCAGACATTTGAGAACCTTCCTCACGGAGTGTACCATTAAGCATTGCAAGCTCTCGTAGTTGCTGTTTCTTATAGAAATCCTGAGATTCATCCTGCATACAGAAAAACGGGTAATGATTAAAATCAAGTAAACAATGGTCCCCAAGACATTATATGGGTCATTAAGGTGGGAGAGAATAAAAATCACCATAGGCCTCAGCAGATCGTCAAGAATCTCACGTGCTTGCATTAGACGAGCATCAACTATCTCGACTGGCAATTCTGCCTCAACAAGTATGTGGAGAGGTTCATTCAGATGCTCATACCCAGGTTTTCCTCTCATCATCTCTTCCTTCAATTAAAAAATAATCTTCTTAAAAATAAAATAAAAAAATAGATTAATTTATCAAAAAAAAAATAAAAAATAGATTAATTTTTTTAAAACAATGATTCAGGCAAAAATTAAGTGCATATTATGTTTTTGTTATCAAATCGGCGAAAAACATGAGCAAATGGAGAAAACATGTTTGGTGATGCTTGTTATATTTTGCACGGTACCGCATCTGTTTCAGAAGAAAAGAAAAAAAAACAAATCTAGAACAAGAAAAAGATGTTCTCAATTGTTTTTACTACTGTAGCTATACATCTATAGTGACATTTAAAAAAAAAATCCAATATAATGTCAACACAATATTCTTTTTTACAAATCATCCACACATCCCTTCAAAACTTCTTAAGAGTAAACATTTAGGATGTGTTGGGCCTTCTTTCTCTAGCTTAGTTTGCTGATGGATTATTCTTCTTTATATTTATTAAATTTTTGGCTATGGTATTTTGATAATTTATTGAGTTGTTGCACCATGCGGCTGCAGTAGGCTCCAAGGGATTCAGGGTCAAGTCATTGGGTTCATTTAAAAAGGTCTTAATTGAATTAAACATGCTTTATTTGTGAAACTTCATAAGTTTATAATGTTCAGTCAAAGCCATTGTGGGAGTGGAAAAGGCCAGCGGTATACGTGTGTGAGATTTAAATTTCAGAGCTTTTGAAGCCATTTTGGGATTCTGTGATTCAAGCTTATTTTAACAAGCCTAATCATTCACTCTTTAATATTCAATACTAGCAAGCTCAAAACAATATAAATTGAGTCAATTTTTTTAGACTATTTTTCACAGTGCAGTTAAAGCCTCCGTACAACCCTTGAAAACCTTCTCTCTTTTTTCCCTTCTTTTTCCTCCAAAAACTCCATCGTGCTGATCAACCTTAAGCCCTTCCATAACCTTCTGGACTTCAATCTCACCCACAGGCATAACATAACTGCTGCCCAGAATTTCTAGCATAAACAATTTTTTTTTTTTTTTTAAATATATTTCCAGCATAGACATTATCAATTCTCAGAAGCCAAACACCCCCACAAATATAGCTAATGCCAACCCCTTCTCATCCCTTAGGCCTACAAACTTCTCAAGACATTAAAACCCCAAACCTACAAAGGTTTAACCAGAATTTCCAGCATAGGACTTTTTTTTTTTGAGAAATGATAGAGCCTCCGATCAAAACTTCCGAATTATCCTCCGAATCCAACGTGGTCTATCCACGTCAGACGAACAACTCCGCTTTATTTTCTCTCTCTCTACTTTTGACTTTCTAGGAATAGCCGCTATTCATACCCCCCAATACAACAAACTTCTCCATTAAACCCAAATAAGGAAAATTTCAGCCGAATTTCGCTTTTTGTGAAAGAGAAACGTGAAATTGAAGGGAATTGAGAGATAAAGAGATCTGTGCATGTGAAACATAAGAGCTCAGCTTCTCAAGATTTTCCCGACACAGCTTTTTCTCTCTCCCCTCGATTCTCTGCACGATTCCTTTCACGGGGGGTATGTTTCTATATTTTGGTGGGTTTACTTTTTAAAATTTTGTGGCTCTATGTTCTACACCCATAATTCAATATCTGATTATGGTATAAGATCTCCGACACGAACTGGTCCGTCCAGTACCACGCATGCGTCCGATTATTAGACACGATTCCTGCGAATCTAGTGGCTCTCCAACCAAACCCATGATTCGAAAACACATGGCAGCGAGAACCCCAAGGAATCAAATCGTTGCATTTCCGTAAGAATTTGGTATTGAAGAAAGGTGAGATCATAGACGTAGACCTTACCAGACGTACATTTGGGTTCACGGAGAACGGAGACGGTGGAAGTGAACGGAATTCGGATATTCTCAGAAGATTTATTTAAGCCGCCAACAGAGACGTCGGGAGTATCCGGAGCTGAGAAATGCTAGGAACTTTTATTGAAATTGTCATAGAGGTTGGACTGGTTCAAGTTCGGTGTGAGTGGAGATCGAAATTGTTGGGTGCTATGGGGGATGGAGATGGAGACGGGGAGGGAGCGAGCCATGAGGAGGAAGATCTGGAGAGAGAAAATGGAGATGACAAGCCATATGCGAGGGTGTTGGACGGAGTTGAAGGAGGTCTTGTGATCTGAGTCTATGGTTTTGATCTTTTTTGCTGGGTTGGAGGGGCTCCCACGACGGATTATTGGAAATGAGAAGCATGAGAGTGGAGAATCTATGGTGGTTTCCGGCGAAATTCGGCCGGAAATTTCCTGATTTGGGTTTAATGGAGAAGTTTGTTGTATTTGGTGTTATGAATAGCAGCTATTCTGAGAAAGCCAAAATTAGAGAGAGAGAGAAAAAAAATAAAGCGGAGTTGTTCATCTTACGTGGATAGACCACATTGGATTCGGAGGATACGGAAGTTTTGATCGGAGGCTCTATCATTTCTCTTCTTCTTTTTTTGATATATTTCCAGCATAGACATTATCAATTCTCAGAAGCCAAACATCCTCACAAATATAGCTAATGCCAACCCCTTCTCATCCCTTAGGCCTACAAACTTCTTAAGGCATTAAAATCCCAAACTTAAAAAGGTTTAAGTCCACAATAAGATCAATCACATGAGTTAAATTATTGATTTACAGCACTACCCTATATCAACTTTTATTATATATCAAAGTTGCTGAAGTGCCCCATATCAGTTTCTGTTATTCTACGGCAAAGTTGCTGAACTATGTTAAATCTACAGTCTGACAAGATATTAGTCATTTACAACCTAATGTCAGCATTTAGTGATTAGTTAAATTGGAAGGGCATTCCTTGCAGTAAATCAAATTAATCATCTGTACACTATCTTGTGCTCCAAATATATGTTTCAATCAAGATACAAAAAAGTTGAAAAGCTCAAATAGATGACATGTCTCTTTACCATTAAAGAATATATTTTCTTGGTTAAAGAACCAAAAGGGGCAGTGGGGGAGCATCCAAATCTCCCTGTTTGACAGATCCTTTTTTTTTTTATTTTTAAAGAGGAGGTTTGTTATGCCAGAATGCAAAAGTTATTGTTTAGGTATTACAACTATCCTGACACATCTTTCACATATGAATTTGTAAGCACTAAAAATGGTGGCATCTTGCACAATCTTCAACATTGAAAAAAGCACTCTTTCTTTGGTAAGCAATTTTGGAAAGACATTCTCATTATTACCTTAGCAGGATCCTTGATGCTGCCACGTCCTCTGATCAGAACACGGCAGTCAGTACTTGCTTCCACTCGCTTCAAAGAGTTCCCTCTGGGACCAAGAAGGCGCCCAACAAAATTGTACTGCACATCAAGTTGGAAACAGGAAATTCAACATCAAATGCAGCAAATTAAAAAAATGGAAAAGCACATTGAAGCAAGAATTTAATTCATACACTTGGATATTGATCTACAGGAATATCCACCCTGATCGTTCTTTTCACTATGAGACCAGATGAGCTACCTTGAGAACTAAGCCAGTTTTGTGTGGACGAGGTCTGTAACAACCCTGACATCTGAATGGTAAAATTTAAAGCACTGTCAAAAATGAACTAAACATAATAGAGACTCCCATGATTCCAAAAAAACTGCAAAAGAAGAAGGAAAAGAAAACTTAAAGCAGCTATAATCTTACATGTATAAATATGAGAAACCCACAACAGTAGTAGGTGCACCTCAACTGATAAAGCAATGGAGAACCAAAAACATAATGCAGATATTTGGGCATAATCATAGAAAATCTTTAGGTGATTGAGCTCCTAAAGATTTGAAACCAGAGCACTGAAACCAGATGTTCAATCTATTTGCAACTACTAGAAGAGAAGGTGTCATGAAGATCTTCTTGAATCAGATCAAACCACTTTTAACAGCCATTTCAGCAACACAATAAATTAAGTCATTTTTTAGAACCCAAAACTAATAAAGTCGTTTCTTGCAAAAAGTCTCTTCCAGTAGAGATAATTAAACAACACTATTTAGTTTAACAAAAGTCAGCAATAATTTCACAAGAAAACAGGACTCCTCCTCTAGGCTCTGCTTTCCTAGGTATTGGTCAAGTCCTTACCAAGTATCTCACACATTAAGGTCTTGCCTGGAATGCAGTTATATACCAGATATTATTCAGCTTTTAAATATGTCGTGTTACAGTTGCCAGTTAGACAAAAAGAAGGTATGAGACTATCTTAATCACACTAGAGTTTCTGGGTGAGGATACTAATTTAAACCTACATATTGTTCCTTTGATGTTAGCCTCAAACTAGCCGTGATGATACATGCAGAATTTCAGAACATAAGCACTCAACAATTAGGTTAGCATGAAATTTTAAAAAAAGAGTCAGAAATGCTTCTGAAAACAGTAAATTAGATGGAAAAAGGTTATGTTAATGGTTAGTATCCGTACTTCTGATGGAAACGGTGATGCCCATCTGTTCACATTCGCTCCTGCATTTGAAAAAAATCCTCCTGAAGCCAGGGGGCTAGCATGTTCAAACCCACTTTGATCTAAAACTGATGCATTCCCCAACAGTGTAGTTACACGCAATATTTCTGCTCCAAAAATGTCAATTTTCAAGAATAAGATGTACCAGTTAGCATTTTTGTTAAGAAATCAGTTAGCAGTCACCACAAAAATGGACAGACAACACGGACTGTTCACTCGGTTAGTTAAAAGCAAAACTTCCGGTGTAACAAACTTAATATTTCAGAAGAATGTACTCTAGGAAGTATCGGAAAAGAAGGTCTATCTAAGTTATCTTCTGTTTCAACTAAATGGTCCATGAGCATCCACAAAGAAATGGCTATATTTATTAGTTTGCATCTTGACATAACTGAACACGGGAAATATAAGTCACAAGAGGAGGTTCACAAAGAATATTTCATGTCTGATAAAAAAGCTGCCATTTTAAAGCAAACAAAATCTTATTTATCTTACCACCAAGTATTTGAAACATGTAGATAAATCTTTATTTACTAAAATTTAAAATCAATTTTAAAACTGGGAAACAAGAGTTTTCTTCCAGAAAAAGAGAAGACGAGAAGAAGGAACAGCAATAAACAACAACAAAACACAAAAAACAAAAAACAAAAATCAAGGACCTGAAGCAATTATGAACCAAAATATGCATCTTCAGTAGAAGATCTGCTTTGAACTAGGAAGTTAGTGTCCAAACTAGCAAACTTGGAACCCCCAACAGACCTAGCCAGTTCAAGAAATCTTCCTGCTCAGATCTCGACTGTAGAACCTCTGCCCACAAGTCCATTGGACTATCAGGCCAAAAAATCCAGATACGTCAAAATTTTCCTTAAACAAAGAAGCATTTCTTTATTCCAGCCAAACCATTTAATGCTAATGTGATGACATTGGAGAGAAATCCTGCACGACAAGGCTTAAAAAGCCTATCCTTCTGGCATCCTAACTATTGTTTTGACCATTATGCAATACACGTTTTTTGGAAATCCAATTGGCTACTTTCATTGAATTGATCATTTCCCTCATTTAGCATGATGAGAGGCCCCTAGGAAGTGTGGCCCTTGCCTTAATCTCAATCTTGAAGTAGATGTCATCTTCTTAGTGGTCACTCAATCTGAGTAAGCCTTAGTATCACTCATAAGAGTGATGAAGAAAAAAGAAGAAAAGGTGGAAAGGCAACGGAGATACATAGACTTACATAACTTAGATTATTTGTAGGATTTATAAGGCTTGTTGTTACAGCTAAATGAAAATTTAAACTCTATCCAAAATATTGTTATTCATTCCGCACCCATATATGGAACTGCAAGACCACATTCTGGTTCCCTAAAAATAGGGGGGGGGGGGAGAGAGGGAACCAAAGTGATAGCGTATCTGAGGAATATTTTAAATACAGCATAACACCTCTAATCCAAATATTGTAGAATGTAGACATTTCACCTTCACAGCCACTAATTTAACAAATATGCATAAAATTATATCTAATAGAACTCAAAGAATCTGAGAAAATCCTACATCAACCAAGTGATACTTTAATAACTGAACTCGTTGATAACTAATACCAAACACAACCCATCAAGCTTAATTAGAAAAAATAATAGTAACTTAACTCAGACCCGAGAGGGAAGGGGTTAACAATGTCACATCACCCCCGTCTTATATTGACCATAACACTGTCAACACCCAAACCACCATTCATGAGACTTTTGCAAACCAAAACATCACGTCTGTAAAATGTGGTCCTACAGGTGGTGCACCTACAGTTTTTTAAAAAATAAGCTAAACTCTCCTCTTTTTCATATATCAATGCTTCCATTATGTTGAGACCCAACTAGCCAGGGATGGAAGATGGAATGACGTTCTTGATATTTTTATCATGAAAATTTGTAATCGCAATATTTTTACAGCTAATTCTTTATAGTGGCAATGGAAGTCACCTCCTTTTTACTTACCATATGATGTTCACCAACTAAATATAGCAAATGATCCAGAACTTGTAGATTTTTCTACCTACTAATAATGTATGCATTTGCAAACTCACCCTGATTCAACAATCGATAGCAATGAGGAAGCACAGGCACAAATGGACTAAGCTTGTGGCGCTCAGCCAGTAACTCAGAGAGATACCTGACAACAAGCAATTGAACCGGTTAAATTCAACTGTGTAGTTATTAGTAGTAACTACGCACACAAGCGCCTAAACATGGAAAGTATCATGATAGTAAAATAGGGTAAAATTTTATAAAACTGGCTGCTTTCACTGCCACTAAAAGCAGTTGATCAAAATTTCAACCTAAGAATAAAACAAAAAACCGAAGCATCAACTGCAAATACATTTCTTTAATAATAGAACATCATTAATGAGAAGTGGAACAACATAATTTTTTTTTTTTTAAAATAAGTATGAAACAAGATAAAATTAAATGATGTACTAGTTCATCAATCAATATGGAATAAACTATATAAAATATACCAAATAAGAATATATACACACAAATATAATATAATCCCGGCCGGTCGCCTAGCCAATAGGAAGGCCCCAATTTTTATTTTTATTTTTTATATTTTATTTTCTTCTATTATTAGACCACAACCAATAGAAAGGCCCAAAAAAAACCTCTCCAAAATGTTTATTTCCTTACATTATTAGATCCCAAATAATATAGATTCAATAGTAGGCCTAAAAGATTTATAATATCCTTATCTTACCCCTAACCCCTTTTGTTTCATCCGCATATTAGTTGTCCATCTTTAGGTTTATAACTTTTTTTTAAGGGAACTTACCAATGCATTGTCCCATTTTCAAATTACTAAATTGTCCTTTTAAATTTAAATATATATAATTCATAGTTGGGAGATTTTTGAAAAGTTAAAAGGGTAATTATGGAAAGTTGTATTTATTTTGTTTAACTTTCAAAATAGACAACTAATTTGGGACACCCTAAAGACAGAGTGAAATTCTAATATGGGACACTATGTCCCATCTTAGAAGTCTATTCTTCCTTTTTAGGGTATCCAAAATTAGTTGTCCATTTTGAAAAGAAGTAACTAAATTTATGTGAATTAGTGAGGATGTCGTGATGACGTCATTCCCCCACTCACATAAAATGATAAAACAATCAATGGAATACATATTGACTTTCTAACTACTTATCATTATTCTTTGAGAAGTTAGACAAAATAAATGCCATTTTTTCATAATTACCCTTCTAACTTGTCAAAAATCTTCCAGTTTATATATATTTAAAGTTAAAAGAACAACTTAGTAATTTGAAAATGGGACAATGTATTAATTACATGTCCCCTTAAAAAATTATAAAATCAAAGATGGACAACTAATATGGGACAAAGGTTGGTATATATTTGTGAAACTTTTCATATTCACCTTTAACTTCTATCTTATTTTTTTCCTTTGTTCCTCGCATATTTTTCCCCACTCATTATTTTGTCTCTCTCCTCTCTCATTACAACTTTTTTTCTCCTCTACTCAATACTCATTACAATCTCATTAACTCACTCCGTTTGAATGTTTTTAAAACACTTTTATTTTATTGAAGAATTTGTTGGAGCATTGGACCAGATCGATTGTTTTTAACTAAAAATTATTTTGTAGTTTTAATAATTTTTGCTATCGATAAATTTGTGACAACTAATAATCAAAACATAACAAAAAAAAATAAAATGGTGAAAACTAAACAAATGAACAACTAAGTCATCTAAAAGAATAATATCATACAATAGTGAAAGAAAAAATATTAGTGACTTGAGTTATAATGATAATTAATGTGTGATTAGAAAAATCGTTATAATGGATAACCCAAATATATATATATATAAAGTATGCCATGAGAAAGATTAAATGGATTGATTATATTATCTATTGAAAAAAAACTATTTACAAAACTTAAATACAATAATCTAATTAGAGAATTTTATATAAATATTATTAACTATTATTTCATTATTAATAGGTTACAACTTCAAATTTTTTTTTGTATTATATAACTTTCTTTCTTTTTTTTTTTTTTTTTTGTATTATTAATATAATATATATAAAAAAGCCACTTTTATATATTTCCCCAAAGGCCTCACATTTATTGAACAGCCCTTGATATAGTCAACAATCAAATCAACTCAATGCAAATCGGATACAAACAGACTTGAAAAATAATTGGTCAGAGAAAACTTAATCAACTAGCAGGGGAACTCAGGGAAAATCTGGTACAAACAGTTTGTTCAGATCCATACCAAGGCAGAAAAAAGGCAAATTAGATCTCAAAAATTATACAAATTTTAGAACACAAAAATATCAATTCTTATCACCGATAATAAGTCAAAACTTTGAAATACAACTGAACCAGTGAGGTTTCGACCAGTCGATTTGCAAAACGAGTAGTAAAATGTGCAAGATCTACATATACACATGCATATATGATATATGTATTTCTGTATACAATAGAATAAGAGAAAGAACAAAAAAAAAAAAAATTACAGAGAAGAGCACTTGGAGCATACTTCTCTTGCTCGACTAGGGCGGTGGTGGCGGAGCGAAGACCGCCGAGGTGAGGAGAGTGAGGGGCAGTGGAGGGAGAGGGTGAGTAGGCCATGTACCTGCCGGAAGACATCTTTCCGGCGAAATCGGCGTCAGATCCCGGCCAGATTGACCGCTGGTCGACCACCACACACACTCTCTCCCTCCCAATATATATATATACACACTATATATTATATGCCTCTCTCTCTCTCTCTCTCTCTCAAAAATAGCGTCGGTGAAAAGCAAATGTAAGCTTGCTTGTATTTATTGAGGGTCACACTTCACAGTCTCCCAAGGCACGGATTTAGCGTGCGATGAGAGATTTATACAGTAGTAACTGCAAAGTAAGCTGGTAATAGACCAATAGTAAAGGCGAATTGATAATTATACATATATATTATGAAAAATTTCAACATTGCCTTTTTAAACAAAATTAAATCGGATTTATTATTTGATAAAATGATAAAGTGGAACCAAAAAAAAAATTCTGGACTATGTCAGAATTTGTAAACAAACCACTTTAAGTATACTAATAAATTATCACATTTAGTTGTAAAATGTTCCAATGTCTTGATTATATTTCTTTAAATAAGAGTATTGTTATTTTTTATTGAATTACACTTAATCAATTTTTTGTTATTAAAATAAAATTTGAAAAAAATGCATACTAATTTGATGACAATGCATTAAATTTGCATAAATTTATCTTTAAAATTTTTAATTATTTTTTAAATAAATAGCTTAAGTAAATTTTTTTAAAACAGTTTAAGTAATTTTTTTATTTTTCATGAATACATAAAAAAGGTTATTTAAGTAATTTATTAAATTCTTATGAATATGTGGTATGGAAAAGAAGGTATTTTTATGGTAAAAAAGTTTGAAATGATTATAATAACTTTTATTATAATAGTAAATTTTTAATAATAAGTTAATCATTTTAGAAAATGATAGTCACATTCCTTTTTTTTTTTATAATAAATTGATTCTAATAATAAAATAAAGATAAATGGTATAATTAATATTTAGATAGGAGAAAAGATAATTAAAGTAGTTTAATAATAAATGATAAATGTATTTATAAAGGGTAAAATAATCTTTTGTGATAGGTTTGTCCTTAATTGCAGCAAATCAATAGTTTAAGGGGTATATGCAAAAAGGCAATAGTTTAAGCGTTTTTTTTTTTTACACTTTACCCTTGATAAAATTAAAAGTTAAATATTAAAATTTTAATAATTGAATTTTAAGTTTCGAACTTTTTAACTGATAATTTTAAATATTGTCCATAATTTAATATCCTTTTTAATTTTAACTGTTTAGCATTCGTCGCTTCTGACCGCCTTTTGAAGCAATTAGGAGTTGGTATTTAATCCGCCAATATGTGAGCCCAATAGATCAGATCAGATCAGATTATTAGACTTATGGATAGGTGATGAATTCAATAATATGGAATCCGTAGTTTATAGATCAAATTATGAATTAGACTATTAAAAATCCGATTCGATACTATCTATTTTGTAATCCGATTTGATATGATCCATGATATATATATAAATATTAATTAATTTTCTTTTAAATTAAAATTAGCTAATGATTATTTAATGGCCTCAAAAAAATTATTAGCTAATAATTATTTAAATATATAAATTAATATTGATAAATTGAAGTTTTGTCTTAAAAAAATAACAATATTAAGGTATTTGGGAAATAATTCTTGGATTCAATCCAACCCAATCGATTATTTCACGAATCCAATCCGATTCAATATCTCACGAAAAACTGAATCCGCTTGGACCCGATCCATGGTCACCCCTAAAGCGACCACCTTATCATCCAAGTCATCGTAGAAGAAGATCTCTTTATTTCTCGTTGTGGACTAGAAGCAAACTACCTCTGCCCTATCTCACTCCTTTCTTATTAGAGTCGTGATAACATAAAGAGAAAGATAAAACGAATGTGTTAGGCAAAATTTATGTGGCACAAAAAGACAAGTTGACATAAATAATGGAGTCTCTCAAAACAGGCGTGATATTGCAATTCAAAACCCTTAAATTCGTTTTTTAAATTTCATCCGAACACTCTCTCTCTCTCTCTCTGTGTATAAGAATATGTAAATTTCTTTTTTTAAAAAAAAAAAAAATGGTAATAAATTTTTTAAAAATCCCATAATTTTGTTTTTAAAATTTCACGAGAGCTCTCTCTCTCTATGTATAGATGTATAAGAATATGTAAATTTCCCTTGAGAGATAGAGGTAGAGATAGAGATAGAGAGGTAACTAGTGGTGCGTGTGACACAGTAAATGCATATACGAAATGCTAGCAAATATGTAATGTCGGGAGTCAATGATGGTAATGGGAAAAGGGTGAGAAGACAACAAAGAGTGACTTGACAATGGGATTGAGATTGACGATGACAGGTATTATTGGTAATTGGGGTTTTTAGAAAATTTTTATCTTTTTAAGTGTAATGCAAATATAGTGCCGCGTCAATATCAACTTTAATTTTGGGGCTAAATATTCGTTCCAAGTTTTTCCATCTTATTATACTTTTTATTAGTAAAATGGTATTGGTAATTTGGTACTACCATCAATTAAAATTTAACTCATTTAAGTAATGTTTACATTTTAAAATATTGTTCAGATTGAATTTATAATGCACTTACTTGAATAAAAGTCTAATAATTTTACAATTAAATGTTGAATTGGGTTGTCCAACTACACTTACCAAAAGATAACAGTATCCCTATTATCATTAGGTGGCTTTTTAATGTGTTTTGATAAAAAATAAATTTGTTTTTACATTAAGGTTTTGTTTGTTTCAACGTAAAATATTTTTTTTCAATTAAAATATTTTTTTATTTTTATTTTGTCGATATTTGGTAAAAATCTACTTTTAGATTGAGATCAAGTCCATCGAGCGATTCATGCAGGTATATAAAATAACTTGTCTGAAAATTGATGAATAAGTTATTTTTGTTAAATTTTAATATATATATATATATATATATTTTTTTTGTAAATATTTTACAACAACCAAACACTAAAAAAATAAAAAAATATTTTTTAGAAAATATTTTATAATTTATATATATAAAAAAAGAAGAATATTATTATTATTATTATTATTCTGTTTTCTTACTGTAATCTACTGTTTACTTACTGTAATCTACTGTTTTGGACCTGGGGAGTTGTAGAGAGAGAAAGTAAGAGAGAGAGAGAAACCGGAATAAGAGGCAAAGGGGAACGAAACGAAGAACTTTGACAGTCAATTCCCACAAACACCACTTAATTACACTGACCCTTCTCATCTCATATCATCTCTAGCTTCCTTTCCAAGACTTCTTCGAAATTCAGAGTTTTCTCTCATCTGGCTATTTTTTTTGCAAGATTCGTTTCTTGATCCCATCGCTCATCTAGATTGGATTTATATACCTATTGAGGCGGTCATTATACGACTCATTGTTGACCTGATTTTTCCATTTGGGTTTGCAAGAATTTCCTTGTTCTTGCCTCTTTCTTACTCTTTCTTTCTCTCTCTATCAATCTCTGTTTTGCAGTTGATTTTTCTTCTTTGTTTCCTTGTCAGCTAAGAAACCTACCTGTTATTGATTTGAGTAGTTCTTTTTTTATTGGGTCAGTAAAATTAATCTTTACTCTCTCTCTACCCTGAAGATATGGAGATCTTTTTTTGATTTGCTATCTTATATAGATGTAGAGATACATACATATATATATATATATATATATATATCAGCAGAATTTTGGTTATCGTGTTTAATTGATTCTACAATGAGCGATAATTTAGAAAATCAGTATCAATCGATCAAGAAAGACAATGAGAAATTGCCGGTGCCGGAAACTCCAGTTTCCGGAGAACGGAAGCTGACGATAAAGTTCAAGATTAGGAATGTGGAAAAGGGGGTTGAAGAAAATCCGATTAGACGTCAAGGGAAGAACTCTCAGAGTAAGGTCTGCACTGTGTGCAAAAAAGAGTTTATCTCTGGTAAAGCTCTCGGAGGTCACGTTAAAGTTCACTTTCAGGATCACAACAAAGAACAACTTCTCAAGCAGCTCAAAATCGGTAATAAAAAACCCAAAAAGTTGAAGAAACAAAATCTACAATGGGCCATCTATTCTTCCAAGAAAAGAGATTCTAATGAAGTCACCAATGAGAGCTCGGAGGGAAATGGAAAGCCAACTGTTTGTTTTATTTGCAGAAAGAAATTTTCCTCGCCGAAGGCCTTGTTTGGGCACATGAGGTGCCATCATGAGAAGGAACGGAGGGGAATTGAGTCGCCTATGGCGGTTAAGAACAGTCAATCTTCCTCTGTATCTGAATCCAAGCCTAGGAAAATTGATGATCACGTTGATTCAGATGGTGCAACTGTGGACAACCCAGTGATTGATTTGATGGAGTCATTACCAATGTGGCCGGTGACAGGCAGGCGAATGTGGCCTGGGACAGGCAGGCGAACCCCGAGAGTCCCGAGAGTCGTGGCCGACACATTGGAGAATTCGAGCTCAGAGGAGGTGGAGGTGGAGAAGAAGCGATTCTGTGACGCGGTGGATGAATTCCTTAGGCTAGCTCAAGATAATTCTTTTGACTCTGGCCTAGTCCATAATGATAAAATTGAGGAATATGAGGTTTCAAACTGCAATGCTCTGACAAATGAGGCTGAAATTGAGGACAAACATCGGGTTTCTGAATCGAATAAACGAAGAATTGAGGCGTCGCCTGTTGGATACAGAAGGGATTATCCTGTGAAGAAGCTGAGAATTGAAGAAGGAGGGTTCAATACTAATGGTGGACACATTGGTGTGGTACCTACATATATGGATAAAGGCAAAGGAAAGGCTATATTGGAGACTCAGAATTGTGAATGGGTTGATGCAAAAGATTGGAACAGAGAAGTTGAAGATTACATGAATTGTACAGACGATGAGTACTCTGATATCAAAGACACCGAAGACTTGTGCGAAGGACAGCTCACGAATTACAAATGGGAGAGAACTAGTCCTAGGTCGGTGATGATTAGTAGCAAGAAGATCAAGAGAAATAAGCCAATTGTGAGGAGGAGTACTCCCAATAAGTACCAATGCAGCAATTGTGATAGGGGCTATTCTATCAAACAAGCATTAGGTGGTCACATGTCCTACCACAAGAGAGACAAGAACTTTCATAACACCATTGATGACCCTTCATCTGCAGCTGCTGAGGATAAACACCATCACAATCCCGCCTCACGAGTGGACGGAGAGCTTGTGCAGAACACACACCAATGTGAGATTTGTAACGGACCTTTCCTTACAGGTCAGGCTCTTGGGGGTCACAAGAGGTTCTGTCCCCTGAGCAGTAGTCCGGTTGAAGCTCCATCGAGCCTAGCAGCTTCGCCAGGGGAAGCCAGTCAAACGGTTCGTAAAATTTTAGGGTTTGATCTCAATGAGCTTCCTCCCATGGAGGATGAAGAATGGTGATGATTATGAGCTAGTTGAATATTTCAGTTTTTTGCAGCTTCTAAAGGAACTGAGCTACTGAGAGGTCAGTTCCTCTAATTCTACCTTGTGATGCTTCACCTGTTGAGTTTTGTAGTGGAAAGGCAGTGGCTTAGATAGGATTGAGGAACCAAACTTGGTTCCTTTTTGTTTTCTCTAACAAAATGTAAAGGAACTTCACATAGGCTTTTAATTTCACAGTATTGATGTACACATGAGTTCTTTGTAGTTTTGCTTTTGCAAAACCTTTTTCCCCCAACATTAATTTGTACAACAATGACATGTCAGTGTGGCATGAAAGGCCAAGATGCATGGATTGTATACTCTCTGTGAAGTGTATTGCTTCCTAGTTGAAGAACAAATGTAGGTTTCATTGTCATGTACCATACATAGTCATTTTATATGGAATTGTTGTCACAATACCATAGCTGTTGAAGAAGCTCATACAGCTCGAGACCCGGAGAAGCTAGCTCCAGAATCATTAGAACACTTGTTACTCAAATGTAACATAACTGGGAACTCAGGCCTCTAGCTTCCGCAAACCTCTTAAGCTATAAGATATCTGCAAAACCCTTAATTATTATCATTTGGGCCTTTAAATGTGTATTGATAAAAACTAAATTTGCTTTTTAACTTAGTTGCAACAAACCTCTTAAGCTATAAGATATCTACAAATTATCCTTCAAATAGGATATAATAAGCAATATATATATATATATATATTTTTATGTTCAAAAGGCTCAATGCTTTAGTTTTGTAGTATTTCTCAACTTACTGTTGACGGATGGGGTGTTTTGCAAATTTTTTTTTTTTGATTGTTTGAGGTGGTTATTTACTTAAAAATTTAGTACAAGGAGTGATATGTGAGTTTTTTTGAGAGTTCATGGGATTTTATACAATTAACTTTTCTGTATATAAATTAAGCTAAATAAATATTCAAGGGGAACAACCTGAAGGCTGAACAGTACCTTCCTTTCATTTTGGTACACGTGTTGGTCCAATGGTGCCAAAAGGACTCTTTATGGGTATTGGGGCATTAGCTTACCAATGAATTGTCATTTGTCAGTTCGTCAAGATCTAAATTTTATGCATATAATAATTTTTTATGCATATAATATTGTTTAAATTATATTAATATATATTTTCTAAAGAATCTTTTGAACCTTTTTTAGAAATGAGCTTTTTCAAAATTGTGGAACACGTTGAATCCAGTTAAAAGGATTTTTCATGTGATTGGTTAGGAATAGGAATGCCTAATATCAAACTCACATTGATGTCCTGTACTATAGGAGTACACAAGTTGGTGTGTCAAATTTCTAAGGTAAAGTTGGGTTGGGGGCTTAGAATAATGGGTTACTAATATCTTGAAAAGTATATTATTATTGTTATTCAAGATTGAGTTGTGCAACACATTCAATCTGTTTTATAAGGATATATATATATATATATATATATATATATCTCGCTAAAAATGGATGAAAAAATCATGCGAGCCTCCTCGCATGATATATCAATGTTATATTTCAGTCGATCTCTCTTTTTTCTATAGACTGAATTAATTTTGAATATAAATATATGCAGGGATCATTTTTAGGAGTGGCGAGACAAATGTTATGTTGTATTACAGTGCATTTTAGGGTGTGTTTGGTTAAATAGAACCAGTAAGAAAGGGAAAGGATTAGAAAATATTTAAATTTTATTTGCGTTTGTTCGGGATGAAGCTAAAAGTTTTTAAGGAAATTGAGATTCCTCCAGTATAAAACACACACGTGTATTTTTTTTTTTTATTTATTTTCTCACGAAGTGGTTAACTTATATTTTAAATTCCTATAATAGCCATACGTTGGTTTTCGTTATTTTTCTCCCTTTTTCGCAGATGTACATATTTTTTCCAAACATAAATGAACTCGTGAAACTAGTGAGATTGTAATAAATATATTGTGTGTGCATATATATATATATATAAAAAGAGTAGTATAAAGAGATAGAGAGAGAGACAATGGAAGAGAGACAGAGAGAATGAAAATTTGTTATTCCAAAACACACCAGCAGTACATATGTATGGCCATATATATAGTCGGATGAATTGGCTTCCCTAAGAAGCCACTACTAAAATCTTCCTCTGTAAGCTTTAAATTGTGATGTCATGGATGACATACTTCATTGTGGGCCCCACTTCCATTATATATATATACATAACACTCCCCCTTGGGGTTCACAATACTACATTAAGAATATGCCTCGCTAAAAACATTGTTAAGGAATTCCAGTGGGACAAAACCCTAGCAAAGGAAAAAGAGTACAGTATTCTTATGTATCTAAAAATGGTATTGTATAAATTAAAATTGCCTCATTAAAACCTTGCCAGGAAAACCTAGTGGGACAAAACATGGACGAAGGAAAAAGAGTACAGTATGTTAATACCTCTTCGATCAATTGCTCCTCCTCATTAAATCAATCCTGAAGATCCTTTCATCGACGCATTCCAATATTATGCACCAGCTTCTTGAATGTTGTAGTTGGAAGCGTTTTAGTGAATAGATCTGCTAGATTTTCACATGAACGTATCTTCTGAATATCAATATCACCCTTTTTCTGGAGTTCATGTGCATAAAAGAATTTTTGTGAAATGTGCTTGGTCCTGTCGCTTTTAATATATCATTTTTTTCATCTGTGCAATGCATGCCTCATTATCTTCATATAATATTGTTGAGCTATCTTTTATTGATGAGAGACCACATGTTGTTTGAATATGTTGGATCATTGATCTCAACCAAATGCATTCCCTGCTTGCCTCATGAATTGCGAGTATCTCAGAATGATTTGAAGAAGTTGCAATCATTGTCTGTTTCATTGATCGCTATGATATAGCAGTGCTACCACAGGTAAACACATATCCTGTTTGTGAATAGGTTTTATGTGGGTCAGAGAGATAGCCGGCATCAGCATATCCAACTAATTGAGAATTTGATGCTTTTGAATAAAATAATCCCATATCAGTTGTACCACGAAGATATCGCAATATGTGTTTGATTCCATTCCAATGTCTGCGAGTTGGTGCAGAACTGTACCTTACTAATAAATTGACTGGAAAAATTATGTCAGGTCTTGTGCAATTTGCAAGATACAAAAGAGCACCAATCGCACTAAGATAAGGCACTTCAGGACCAAGGGGTTTTTCATCATCCTCTCGAGGACGAAAAGGATCTTTCTTGATGTCAAGTGATCGGACAATCATTGGGGAGCTCAATGGATAGGCTTTATCCATATGAAAACGTTTCAGAATCTTTTCTATATATGTTAATTGATGGATGAGAATACTGTTCGAAAAATGTTCAACCTGCAACCCAAGGCAAAATTTTGTCTTTCCGAAATCTTTCAGCTCGAATTCTTTCTTTAAATAAGTGGCCGTCTTTTTGATTTCACCCAATGTTCCCACAAGATTCAGATCATCAACATATACTGCAACAATAACAAAACCAGATTCTAATTTGTTAATAAAAATGCATGGACAAATATGACTGTTCACATACCCTTCCTTGAGTAAGTAATCGTTAAGGCGATTATACCACATTCGTCCAGATTGCTTCAATCCATACAAAGATCGTTGTAATTTTATCGAGTCCATATTACGTGGTTTTGTTTCAAACATTTTAAATCCTTCTGGAATTTTCATATAAATATCACTATCTAGTGATCCATATAAATATGCTGTAACCACATCCATTAGATGCATATGCAATCTTTCTGTGACTGCCAAATGTATTATGAATCTAAAAGTAGGTGCATCAATCACAGGGGAGTATGTTTCCTCATAATCAACACCAGGTCTCTGTGAGAAACCTTGAGTTACTAGTCGAGCTTTGTATATCATAATTTCATTTTTCTCATTACGTTTTCGTACAAACACCCATTTGTATCCAACAGGATTAACACCCTCAGGTGTCTGGACTACTGGTCCAAATACTTCACGTTTAGCTAATGAATTTAGCTCTGCTTGTATCGCTTCTTTCCATTTTGGCCCATCATTTCTTCGTCGACATTCTTCAACGTTTTGAGGTTCCGGATCCTCATTTTCAATATCAAGAGCAACGAGATATGAGAATATGTTGTCGACAACAATTTCATTTTTATTCCATCTCGTTTCATAATTTAATGAGATCTCATCATTTTCAGGTACCTTTGCCTCATCAAGGGCATGTGCCTCATCAAGGGTCATATCATCATCTGTTGCTTTTGGCTCATCAATATTTATTATTTCATCATTTTTAAGTACCTGAGATTCATCAAGAGCCTCTACCTTATCAAAGGCTATTATCTTATATTGATCAATAATATCTATTGCTCCCTTTGTGGGCTCTTCAGGAGTGCCCGCTTTCTTTGTGATTTCCTCTTACGAGGAGCGGTATCTTTTATGCCAACTGGTCTGCCACGCTTCAGGCGTATTTTAGATGCATTTGCTGCATTACTGACAGAAGGTCCTTCAGGGACAGTAATTCGTGCTGGCACATTTGCAGTTGGTATATGTGATTTTATCACTTTCTTTGTATCAGTAAATGCATCATGTAATTGATTTGCAACATTTTGTAAGTGAATGATCCTCTGAACTCCTCGTTCACATTGGTTTGTACGATGATCAAAATGAGACAATTCCAGGGCATTCTAAGTAAAATCACGTTGCTGTTGTGCCTTTTCTCCCCCTAATGGTGGGAAAACAGTCTCATCAAAATGACAGTCGGCAAATCATGCTTTAAAGGCATCACCTGTCAAGGGTTCAAGATATCTAATAATAGATAGAGAATCAAAACCAACATAAATTCCAAGTCTACGTTAGGGACCCATTTTAGTGCGTTGGGGTGGTGCAATTGAAACATATACAGCATAACCAAAAACTCGTATGTGGGAGATATTTGGTTGTTGACCAAAAACAAGTTGCACTGGTAATTACTTATGATAAGCAGTTGGTCTTATACAAACTAGTGATGCAGCATGCAATATGGCATGACCCTAGGCAGAAACAGGTAATTTTGTTCGCATAAGTAAAGGACTACCAATTAGCTGAAATCTTTTAATAAAAGATTCAGCCATACCATTTTGAATGTGAGTGTGTGCAACAGGGTGTTCAACATTAATTCCAACTGACATGCAATAATCATCAAAAGCTGGAGAAGAAAATTCAGCGGCATTATCAAGACGGATTGTCTTAATTGGGTAATTAGGAAAGTGTGCCGGTAATTTGATGATTTGAGCAAGGAGTCTAGTAAATGCAACATTACGGGTAGAAAGCAGACAAACATGCGACCATCTTGTTGAGGCATCAATTAAGACCATAAAATAGCGAAATGGTCCACAGGGTGGATGAATTGGCCCACATATAACCCCGTGAATTCGTTGTAAAAATGGGGAAGACTCAACAATAACTTTTGAAGGGGATGGTCTGATAATCAACTTACCTTGTGAGCAGGCGGTGCATAAATGATTATTTGGTAAGATAATTTTTTGATCCTTTAGTGGGTGTCCATGTGAATTTTCAATAATTCGACGCATCATTGTACTCCCTGGGTGACCAAGTCGATCATGCCAAAGTATAAAAAGTTTTGGGTCACAAGATTTCTTATGAATCACAACATTTGACTCAATTGTTCTAATGGTTGTATAGTATAACCCAGAAGAGAAAACAGGGAATTTTTCTAATATCAGTTTCTTGCCTGAGGTAATAGAAGTAATGTAGAGATATTTCACATTTCTTTCATTTGCAGTCTCAATATGATACCTATTATGACGTAAGTCTTTAAAACTTAATAGATTTCTCCAAGATCTTGTAGAATATAAGGTATCATTGATTTGTAATCTTATTCCATATGGTAAAATGATGTTGGCTAGTCCGGAGCCTTCAATCAAGTCGGTGGGACCTGATATGGTACTGACACTGGCGTCTGTCAGAGTTAAGTGGGAAAAATATTTTTGATCTCGAAGGATTGTATGTGTTGTTCCATTATCTGCAAGACATATGTCTTCACCATTTATTTTGGAACTACTCAGATCCATTCTTATTCATGCAAATTTCTTTATCAGAAAAGAAACTTTTATAACAAAAGAAACTTTAATACAAATTAGAAAATAAAAACTTTAATATAAGGAAAATACAAGGAAAATAAAAACATAGTAGATAGAATATGAAAAGAAAATAAGATTAATTGGTGTGGATATTTCCATCACCAATCAGGAAGTCTATTTTTTCATCACGGTCCTCAAAGAAATATGATACATCCAAATTTGTGATGTTAACTGGCTCATTACGATCAATGAAATTCATTTCTAGATTTGTGATGTCAACTGGCTCATCATGATCAAGGAAATTCATTTCCTTTTGTTTTCCCTTCTCTTTCATTGAGGCTTGGTAAAGTTCAGTCAGATGGTTAGGTGTACGACAAATACTTTGCCAATGCTTTGTCATGCCACACCGATAACAAGTATTATTGTGTGCCTTGGAAGGTTGAGCCACATCCTTCCCTTTTCCCTATTTCATTTCATGATGATCTCTCATTTGAGGATATGGTGTGGATCTCTGATTGCAAAAATGTGATGACTGATATCCTTCATGATAATAAGAATGATTTCTACCACGACCATATTCATTATTGTGGTAGTTATTTTTGCCACGACCATATTCATTTCTACCACCACGACCACATCCACGTCCGCGTCCACGACCACGGGATGAGGCAACATATGTTTCAGGGATCGGTGTCAATTCAGTTGGACGGGACTGGTGGTTTCTCAATAGAAGTTCATTATTTTGCTCTGCCACAAGCAAACATGATATCAGCTCTGAATATTTTTTAAATCTATGCTCTCAGTATTGTTGTTGCAGGAGTACATTCGAGGCGTGAAATGTGGTGAATGTTTGTTCTAGCAAAAGTTCATCAGTAATAGTATCACCACATAATTTCAATGTAGAGCTGATTTTGAATAGAGCAGAGTTATATTCAGTCACAGTTTTAAAATCTGGCAACCTCAGTTACAGCCAATCAGCCCTGACCTTTGGGAGGATGACTGTTTTTTGATGATCATATCTTTCTTTCAAATTATTCCGCAAACAAAGTGGATCTCTTTCAGTGAGGTATTCAGTTTTCAGTTCTTCACTAATATGGCGCCGGAGGAAAATCATGGCCTTTGCTTTATCTTGCAATGATGCATCATTTTTTTCTTTGATTGTGTCTCCAAGGCCCATGGCATCAAAATGGATTTGAGCATCCAGAATCCAAGATAAATAATTTTTGCCAGAAATATTCAGGGCCACGAATTCCAGCTTTGTCAGATTTGACATTTTCAGAATAACTAGATGTGACAACAATATAAAAATATAATTTAGGATAGTATATAAACTAAAATGACATTAAATGAAATAATAACATAATATAAATTATTTAAATAACAAAAATGGTCAATCCGGTCATAGTAAATAAACTATTAAACAATAAAGGCGGTAAAACCAGCCATAAAACATTAAATAATAAAGGTGGTAAGACCGATCATAATTAGTGGATCAGTAAATAATAAAGGTAATAGAATCGGCCATAGTGTAAGCACATATATCATTTAAGTGAACAAATTTATTTTATAAACAATAATCTATAATTAAAATTTTCTTACCATTTGAAGTTAGAAATACTATTTTCTTCGATGAAACAAACTAACCCAATAATTTATCAAAACTAATATCACAAAATAGATATATAGTTGGGATAGAAAGAGGGAGAGAAAGCTTTTTCTTCAAATCTGAGATAGATGGAGCTCGTGCTGATAACGTGTGATAAATATATATGTGTGTGTGTATATATATATATATAAAGAGTAATATAAAGAGATGGAGAGAGAGAGAACGAAAGAGAGACAGAGAATGAAAATTTGTTATTCCAAAACACACCAGCAGTACATATGTATGGCCATATATATAGGCGCAGGAATTGGCTTCCCTAAGAAGCCACTACTAAAATCTTCCTATGTAAGCTTTAAATTGTGATGTCATGGATAACATACTTCATTGTGGGCCCCACTTCCATTATATATATACACATAACAGAGATATAATTTTAGCAATTTTTTTTTCTCCTATTTTTATCTTGCATACAACCTTGACGCTCATGTACATATAACATATGGTGGGTATGTTTTAAGTGCATTACATTAATATACAATATGTATATATCTGGGTTTTAGAATTTGGATATTAGACACGTTCCTTAAAAAAAAATAATACAAAATATTCTATAATTATATAATTGTAGTTGAATTCAAAAAGAAAACCCCCCATAAATTTGGTTGTGATATTTAAAATTCTATTAGTTTTGGTTATTACAATGTAAACAAACATAAGTTTAACAATGTTAATCCTATTCAATTTCATCAAAGTCCTTCCAATCACTATATAAATTGTAATGTCCCAAATATATATTAAAATATTTTTAAGTAAAGAAATTCAAGTGACTTGTTGTCTCATATAAGTTCTGAATATTATCAACAACAAAATTTGATGTATGAATTAATATTACCCAAATTAATTCATGTTTTTAGTATTTTAAATTATAAGGACAATTTTGACGAGTGCAATCATTTTCTAATTATCTTGCATTCTATCTAAACTAACAACACAATATTTTCTCACAACTTCTATGAAATTTTTTCATCATAACCAAATGCACCATGAAAACTTAATTTTCTTTTTCTTCACTTCACTTTTTACCATATATTTCCGTCTAACTAAACGGACCCTTATAATTTTAACTTATTTAATGTTAGAACAATTTTTGTATTTCAAAATCATTTTCTTCATCAAAATTTTCATTCTACTTTGTAAAGGCAATTATGTAATTTTATTATTATGATAACAGCTAAATGACAGAAAATTAAAATTTTTTTTTTGGTATTTAATTTACAAGCTTTCAGAATCCAATCCAACAATTGGTAAAATATCAAATGTCACCGCTTTAGTGTCCGATTTCAATCTAAACAGGCATCCTCAAATATAAGGAATAAATATATATTTTTTATCAAAACGCGTCTATACACAGAGAAAGGAGTAGGGATTGCGCGAAGACGACGGTGAGCGTAGTTTAGTCATACAGAAAGGAGTAGGGATTGCATTGCAGAGAAGAGAGATGGAGGAAACCATAGCTTTCAAAAACCTCCACAGCCGAGACTATCAAGGCCACAAGAAGAAGGTTCTCTCTTTCTCTCTCTCTCTCTCTCTCTCAACCCACTATCTTCTTATTTGCTTTCTGTTCTTTAAATAAATTTGTAATCAATTCTCAACATGTAAAAGCCCTAGCTTCGTGTATCTGCTTCTTTGCTCTTCTTCTTCAATTTCTGGAATATCTGTGTAAAAATTCCGGGAAATTTATGTCTTTTCTGATTTTTGATTTTAATTTTTCTCATAAAAAAAGGTGCATTCGGTGGCTTGGAATTGCACTGGCACGAAGCTCGCCTCTGGTTCTGTCGATCAAACGGCTCGCGTTTGGCACATCGAGTCCCACGGACATGTAATCTTCTTGGAACCCCTTTTTATTTATTTTTTCCATCTCTCTTTATATTCGCAGTTCATTGAAATACTTTTTTTCCACAGCTATTTTTATTTTTTGTGAAAGTTGAGAAACCCCCAAATATATATATATATATATATATATATATATATATATATATTTGGGGGTTTCTCAACTTTCTTGTAGTGGATCCTGCAAGCTCTAGTACTATTTGTTGAACTGGTGGGATCACTGCCAAGTTAAATCAGTTTGCCGTTAATAGTCTTTTAAATTGTTTTCATTTTTGGGTAACCTGCAAATTGATCTTATAAATTATACAATAGCATTGAAAAAAAAAAAAATTCTATTAATTTATTGCGCCCTTGACAACATTTGCACCTTTAATATCGAATAGGAATGCTTTAATAGTAATTTAATTTTTTCATAGTGCGCCTCACTTCACTCAGGCGCGCACCTTGCCTTGCGCTTGGGCTCCAGAGGACCTCTAGTGCCTTAGTGCGGCTTGGGCCTTTGATAACACTATTATAGGATTAACAATCAACATGTTACACAAAAATTAGGACTTACATATATTGATGTTAGAATAAGAGGAAGTTGATTAATAGTTTGAACATATACAAGAGAAATAGTGGTTAAAATACAAGGTAGAAGTTAAAAAGGTAGACCAAACTAACCCATGATGAAAAAAAAAAAAGATCTCAAAAGCTAGATATAATAGGAGACTCGGCTTATAAAAGAAAAGAATGACAAAAGGTAATTGGACCAAGACAATGGTGACGACGATGTTGTACCATAGCATATTTGATGCAGTGGAATGAAAAAAGTGAAATAAGTAGACAATCCAAAGATTTGGAAAAGGATACAATGTGGGCACATTCTAAATGCATATAGGAAAGGCACGTTGATTGAAGAGGCGGCTGAATGAATACATTAGGAACAATAACTTCTCATAACCTATTGAGACTGATCAAACTTTTTCACACATAACCCAGTGATTCTCAAAGCTATTATTTCATCACATTATGTTGTTTTGCTGCATTTGTGCCTCGCTTCCATGGTCTCTCCCATACAAGATCAGTAATGGCACTTTACTGAGATGGTCAAAATTTGGATTTCACCAAAAGTTATTGTAGAAGAATACAACTGACTGCAAGGGAGGATGCATTCCGTAAATTCCATTACGTTATAGCCAAAGCAATCTGTTATATCTGTTTCATCATACAAAATCTCTTTTGCCTACGAAGATTGTGTTGCAATCATTCCTACATTTCCATGGTCACGAACGAATGAAACTATGAAGATATGTTACTACGGTGATTAAGGTTTGGGGTTTCACCTCGAGTTAATTTAGTAAGAGAGGAGGAAAGTGCAAGCGAGGAGACCAACCTAGAATCTTTCTCCCTTTATGCCCAAGCATTCTGTTGAATCTGTTTCATTAATGATTTATTCACTTTTTTGGCCTACTAAGATTGTAAAGATTAATTTAATATTCAAGACCGGTTTAAGTTCTCAAGGAGTTGGTAGCATTTTCAAATATTCTCTACCCTTTGGGATATATAACTGAGGAACTCTTGGTTTACTAGAAGAAAAATAATATAAAATCAATGGCTTTAATATCTACATACTTAAAAATTTTCTCATATTTTCTTTTATAGTCTCTTTCATTTTCTCGTTGACTTTTCCTTCACTATGTGAATGTCTCAGTGTTTCGTTGTTTCATGAGGGTTTTTTTTTTCGGTTTTCACTTGTCATTTCATATTTCCTATGCCATTTGGATATGTTTGTTGCAGGGTAAGGCAAAAGATATTGAGCTAAAGGGGCATACTGATAGTGTTGATCAGTTATGTTGGGACCCTAAACATGCCGATTTAATTGCAACTGCATCTGGGGACAAGACAGTTCGTCTGTGGGATGCTCGCAGTAAGTGAATGCTATTATTGTATAAATGTGCTTGACTTTGAGAAAAATGAAATGGCATAGTAATTTAGGCATTAAGTTTTTTTTTTTTTAGAATTTCAGAAGCTACTACTTGTGTAAAGATGTGCTGTATTCTTCATTGGTTTTTATAACAGAATTTGAAAGAGATTTTACTAGAAAGGCTTTAAAAATACCTAGGATGATCGATGTATTATCTCTATGCTATATTGTAAGTTCTTGTTAGGATGATTGGTTGTTATAACAAAACTTGAAAGAGATTATACAAGATTGACTTTAGAAATGAGGCATGTTTTTTAGGATTTGGGATGATTGATGTATATTTCCTATGTTGGAAGGACAGACAATGAAATAATTTATAAGTGAAGAATGAAGTAGAAGAAATAGGTGTGATAAGAAAAACATACTTTTTTTGCACTGAATTTTAAGGAAATTAGACTGGTAATTCCTCTTCTCTTGTGTTTTATTCCTTAATCAGAATAGTTGTAGAACTAAGGGATTATTGAATCAGGAACAGGGATGTCAATGAGGTGGGCATGGGATGGAGTGCCACTATCTGCATCCTCCTTACCAAAGAAGCAGGCTGCCCCATCCCTGTCCCTAACCCATGATGGGTTCCTTACATCTATTCGATACCCGTTTTAGATTACATTCCCCAACCCCACCCCCCACCCCCCACCCACCCTGCCTCTGGGTGATATTCACTTTACTTTGCGATGCAAACAAATATAAACAAAATATAAATTTGGGACTTAAAGTTCAAATGGTTGGATCAATATATGGAAAAGTTAATAAGAACACAACAAAATCACATAATTTTACATGATATGCTGTGTATGTATCTATATATCATGTGTTTTTGTGTGTATGTGTACACACACACACACACACACACACACACGCATATATAGAGAGAGTGAGAGAGAGACAGAGAGATTTCTCATTAAAGAACATAATTGGGGATTTCAGAAAGAGATTTCTGAGTAAAGAAGATCATATTAGAATGCAAATTCTTGAGTTTCACATGTGAAGATGAGGATTGATTTTATTCTTTGTTAATAGATTCTGATAAAACCTGGTGAAAAACCAAAAAATTAGTTTCAGGACTAATATAAAAAATTTCAGCAGAAACATGTAGTCGAGAAACGGAAATGAGGCGGCTTTGATGTGATTGATCAACTGTAATTGGTGGCAGTAATGATTTGCGAGGCACAAACAATGTGATAAAAGGGAGGTTTGGGAGATTATGTGAGAGAAACCCTAAAATTACTAACATATAAAAGGGTACCTAAGGCATTGCCAATGGAATAGTCTTACAAATCGATTATGTAGTTAGGGCAGGGTGGGAGGGACTGATTTATTTTAATTCCATCCCTGCCCTGAACCCAGGGTCGGTATTAACTTTTCCTTCCAAATCTGTCCCAAATATGAAAGTGCATTGCCAATTTGCCAGCCCTAATCAGGAATATCTTGAAATACTAATATGGTACTATAGGAGTCCAGGAGATGCTCATTTCTGTCTTCTTTGGCTTTTGTAGGTGGAAAATGCTCACAGCAAGCAGAACTTAGCGGGGAGAATATCAACATCACCTACAAGCCTGATGGAACACACATAGCCGTCGGGAACAGGGTACATTAGACAGTGTCTTGTCACTGGTTAACAATATTCAATCTCTGTGACTGGTGTTTTGCTTAATTTTCCAATTACGTCCAGATCTGAGTCTCAGTATTTTCTGCTACACTTTCGCCTTTTTATCTCATTCTGTTGTTCTCATTTATTGTAGGACGATGAATTAACAATACTGGATGTTCGGAAATTTAAGCCCATACACCGGCGCAAGTTCAGTTACGAGGTAATATCTTGTTCAAACTAGTGCTGGTTTTATCCTATCAATTGTCTGGGAGTCAAAGACGTCCACTTCAAATTACTTTTCAAGGCAAGGTTTCAGTCCAGTGAAACAATCTGAGGTCCAGATTTTAGAGACTGAAGTTTCAAACCTGACTTTCATCTGGATGTAAACTTTAGTGTTGTGTTGCACATAATATCGCAGCTTAGCATTGTGTCTTTTCTTTGCTTTTAGGTTCTTTTGACCTTTTGAATTGAACCATCTCCCCTAGAAAACTATTTTTAAACCACACGCTGTGTTGCTCTCCAAATTAAGGTGGTTTTTAATGCAAGTGTTGTGCCCTTGCAGAAACTGTCTCATTTTTTTAAACATTTGAGTGATGTGTGCTTGTGATTTTCCATATACAAATCACGTCGAGACTATTGTTTGTGAAATACTGAAATGGAGTAGATGGTTGACCCTAGTTGCAGGATATCTCCAAATCAAATTTATGTTAAAACATTTATATATACTGAATGTTCTTGCATTCTTTCTTGTCAGGTAAATGAAATTGCTTGGAACATGACGGGAGATATGTTCTTTTTGACAACTGGCAATGGTGAGAACAGTTACTGAAAAGGGAATTTCTTTTCCTTCAGTGTTGCAAAATAGGTCTCGTTTCATTACAATTTGGACATTATGCCCTCTACATGTACTGAAAAATCATTCTTGAGTTGTTTGTACTCCCTTTCCAGGCACTGTTGAAGTACTGGCATATCCATCTCTTAGACTGGTTGATACCCTTCAAGCTCATACAGCTGGTTGCTATTGCATTGCAATCGACCCATTAGGGAGGTGTGCTTTATATCATTCTTATCTATTTTTGCTTATACATTGTTTTGATGTAAAAATACAACCTTGTGCTTCAGAATCAATTATTTTATTTATTTATTTTTTAAAACTTTTTGTTTATACATTGTTTTGATGTAAACATACAATCTTGTGCTTCAGAACCATTTTTTTTTAGCTATTTGTAGATAAGAGGGATTTAGGTGAAAGACCAAGAATATACAAAAAGAGAGCCCATCTACATGAGCGCAGGGTCAGCCAAGGTGCATGTTCCCTTTGCAGTCTCAAATAAGGTGCAAAAATGGGTGAGGCTAAATGAAATAAAACGTGTAATACAATCCGACCAACAACAGAGCCACATGACAATAAATGTTCAAAGAAACACATGAATACACATAATAAAACAGCAACCTCACTGAGTTTATACTAGTGCAACAACCACTCTAAACGTTGAACATGCTTCAATGACAAAGAGTAAACTCAGCCTTTGTAGTAACCACCTAACAGAGTCCATACCAATCTTAGCAATCCATATCTGAAACATTAGACCTTCCAAACCACTGACAAAATTTTAATTCTGACATAACAACCTAGCCCGAGCCAATTTCTAGTATGTACTAGATTCCTCTATATCAAAATGAAGCTGTTAAAACTTTCAAGGTGATAGATTAATTATGAACAAAATAATGATTCTATCCCCATTCATGGTGGTTTGCTTACTTGTATCTTATATATCACAAGACCTATAAAAACATTTCTGATCGGATCTGTTTGTGTAAGAATAGAGTGAATGAGAAAGATAACAAATTTGGAACCGCTAACGAAAACAGTATAGTTAGGAAGTCAAATGGGCTTTTTTTTGGTGGGGATAGAGGTATCAATCCATATTGTCTAATTCCATATATATATATATATATATGTATGTTTGATGGCGTCATTGGACGAAGAATTAGATGCAAACCTGTAACGACCCACTCCTCCACATGGAATGATATTGTCTACTTTGCGCCTGAGCTTACACGGTTTTGTTCTTGGGTTTTATTCCAAAAGGCCTCATACCATTTGCAGATAGCACTAGCACATACAAGCACTTCAGCTTCACCTTACCTAGGAGAAGTGGGATTGTGCAACCTGTAGCTCGCCTAGTGTCTCTTGCACCCGCCCACATCACACCCGCCGACATAGGTCGCCACAAAACCTATAATATTTATGTTTGATTATCTCTGATTTTTCTCTTTTCTTTAACACTTCATCGCCGGTTTTGTGGGTAACAAATTTCTCTCTCTTTCTGGGCACAACTTGCTGAGATACTATAAGTTACCTTAAAATGGTCCATGTTCAAGTTGTTATACGGATGGTAGGACCTTCTCTTGTATAGTTTTGTATAGTTACGTCTTACACCTGGGCTTCAAACTTTTGTTTATTTTATTATGGTTGCTTTGATTTTAGGTTAGCTAAGTTACATCCAAAATAAACAAATAATATGTTTGTATTCCATATGCTTTGTATAAACCTTCTAAATTGAGCTTGTTTTCTCCTAAAATACGATGGTTAGACGGGTTTGGCACATTCTGAAAGCTATAGTTTTATGGAAGTGTGCAATGTGATGCTATGGTTCTCACATTTATTACGGCATATCTATATAGAGAAGTGTGCAATGTGATGCAATGATATTCCTGTACTGACAGGAATATCATGTTGTAAAATCCTCTTAACCTCTACAGCTGCCTCTTTATACCATGGCAGATATCTCGCTGTTGGAAGTGCTGATTCGTTAGTCAGCCTTTGGGATATTTCACAGATGCTCTGTGTGCGAACATTTACAAAACTTGAGTAAGTTTCTCCCAAACCCTTTTGACGTGCTTGTGATATAAGCATCTATGACTCCACCTATTTCACTCTGGGATTTTTCTTTTAAAAAAAATCTTATCAAGCTTTTGATTTCCTCAGTCCCTGGGCAGGGAATGACCTTTTCTTGCTTATTCTCAGATGGCCAGTCAGGACAATTAGCTTCAATCACACAGGAGAATATATTGCTTCAGCCAGTGAAGACTTGTTCATTGATATAGTATGTATTCGCGAAGCTTCTTTATATCAGTTTTTTCATCCCCTCTGAAGAGTCTTCACTCATTTGAAATAGTAGGCTTATTATGGAAAGCCAGGAGATTGTGCTTATCGTCTCTTGTGCTACATCGTTATAATATGATGGATTGGAATTGCAATATAGTTATATCTTCCTTTGGGAGATAAAAGATATCTCTGTCCTAGATGGCTTAAGTAACATAAACAAGAAACTAAGTAGATGGCTAAGGTCATCATTATGTTTTGATCCTAATAATTAGAAACCAGTCAGCTAAAAATGCCACTGCTGCCTTTTGAAACAGTCAAATGTCCAAACTGGAAGATCCGTCCACCAAATTCCATGTCGGGCTGCCATGAACAGCGTGGAATGGAATCCTGTACACAATTTACTTGTGTATGCCGGAGATGATAAAAACAAATATCAAGCTGATGAAGGTATTTCTGCTTCTTGCTCAATTATTGGTAATGGTCATTCAGTCTAATGCTGCAAGGAACAGATCCTGAGCAAGAGAAAATGGAAACATTATACGGATCACAATTTATTTCAATTCTCAAGTAGTTTGTTTCTTTGGGTCTTTTAAGTTGCTGATGCTTATTCTAAAAGATTTTAATGATTGTTGCAGGTGTTTTCCGAATATTTGGCTTTGAGACTGCATAAGATCTGACAGGGCTATGGTTCGATATAATGATAGTGGAGGCTCTTTTTAATTGTTTATTTAATTTTTATTTTTGGGTTTTTTGTCGACTTCCATAACTTCTTCCTGGGCACAATGGGGAAAAAGTTAATCTGCGCCTTCAGTGCGTGTGCTCGTGTCTGTCTTATGATCGTGTCCGTCTTATGCAACTCCATGCCTTGTATGCTCGCTATTTGTGACAAAATGTGACAAATGTGTACTTATTATTACAATTCTGTTGTATTCTACATTTCTCTATTTAAATGATGAACAAGAGAAATTCTGCAAAAATGAGAAAGGTTGAAATTCTGCAAAAATGAGAAAGATTCAATTTATTATTAAAAAAGACCTAGTTTCCAGAAATTTGATTGCCTCAATAACATAGACAACTCAGAGAACACAAAGGAGTGATAGTTCAATGACTTTCTACACAAGACAAACTCATAGAACACAAGGAGTGTTTCTTTTGATTGATTTCACACTGCAATAAGAGAATATCATCAACAGCAAAATGGACCGGTCTTCCATGTCTAATCTATACGACAAACCCTCTCATCAACAGCATAATTTGGCAAAAAAAACACTACTTAAGGTTACAGGATTCGCTGCTTATGGTGGTGAATTCAAGCAACGATCGGACCAAGATGCTTCATCCCCCCTCCTTTCGAACAAATTGACTGCTTTCAAACTCGAATTCATCTCCTTTCATCCCCCCTACTTTCGAACAAATTGACTGCTTTCAAACTCGAGAATGCAACATGTATTTGTAGGGATTAAAGTCTTTCAAACTCGAATTCATCTCCTTTCGGACAAATTGGCTGCTTTCAAACTTGAGCATGCAACATGTATTTGTCGTCTAAGCTGTCACTATAACACCAAGTGATAGAATCTGAAAAACAAAAAAAATTACAAATTGTAACAAGATTGATTGATTGATTGACAATTACAGAAGCTCTAAACTAAATTCAATTTTACCTTGGGCCTGATAGAATGTTCTGTTGACTGCTTTCTAACTCTCCCCCCAAATCCTTTTTATGCAACATAGACTACAAAAAATGACCAAAAAAAAATAAAATAAAATAAATGTTGAAATTTACAACCCAAATCCACATTCCCAATAGTAATAATAAAAAAAACATGATACCCAAAAATAAAATTACAAACTATAGCTGACATCAATTGAAAAACTAAAACTTGAAAACAATAATTCAAAATTTACCTTGAAACTGATTAGACTCCCAAATTTGTAGTAGTACTAATAGCAAAGGATGAACTTGTTAGCAGGGAAGACCAAACCTGCAAAGCAAACAAGAAACAGAGTAATTAGATTCTGAGAACACCAAGTGATTGGTTTCCATTTAATCTCAACACTCGAGCTCTTCATCCTCCTCCCATTAGATGGCTCCTTCGACAGATCAAAGCTCGCCCCTTTCATCCTCAGTTCCTGAATGCACCGCGTGACGGCCCGGCCATCGCTCCTCTCTCTCTGCAACTGGTTAGCCACTTTCCAGTACCTGCAAAGCTTCACCTGAACCAGGAAGATCAGAACAAGCGAAGTGGACACTGACAAAAACGCCGGTACCCACCATTGATGGCACTTGTTTTTTCCCGAATTCATGGAAGATATGAACAACATGGTTAAGAAAAAGACATGGAAGAGGAAGAAGAAGCAACAGGATTGGAAAATCTCTCTCTTGATTGAGTCCATTCGGGTTTCTTTCATGGCGATTCGTCGCCCAAAGAGATCTTCTTCTCTCTGCCAGAGCTTGAGAAGCAAGAGATGCCCTGGGCTCTCTGAGATTTCCATTAGTGGGTGGTGTTGGATTGCAGAGAGTGTGTTCATGGCAGATATTAGTTTCTGTTGATGCTCCTCGTCGACAGGGATTTCGACGACATGGGCATCTTTCATTTCTGCCATTGATTGAGAAATCTTGTGGAAATTCAAAAAGATTTGCAGAAATGGTAAGATATGAATGAGTGATCAAATGTGAAATGTGTGTGTTTGTGTGTGTGATTTGGTGGTTTCTTTGAACACAGAACAATAAATGGAAATAGTGGTTAGTAGAAAGAATGAGAGCTTGAAGATTGCAGTTATCGCAAGTGTGAATCGTTGGCTTTGATGCCGGAGATAGATTGTGTCTCGGATATATAAAGCGTTGCGAAACGCCTGAGATTCGCAACGGTCACATTTTCTTTTCGCTGTCCCCAACGGTCAGATTTCCACTGTTAGCGAAAACGTATAATTCAATTGTTTTATTTTAAAAATCAAGTTATAAAAATTTGACTGAAAAAAACAAAAAAAAAACTTAGTGAGTTGGTTTCATGGTTTGTTAGGAAGGAAAAGGAAGAAAACTTTCACGGACCAGTTGTAGTGAATTATCTTATTTACTCTTTTAATTGGTTAATTATATAATAAATAAAGAAATAAAACCCTTTATTTAGTTGTATTTAGTATAAATAATCAATTAAAAATTATTGAATTTACAATTCACTGTAAGTATTGGGTGTGATTATCATTACTCATTACTCTATAAGTATTCGGTATCATTATCATTACTCTGATTTTAATAGTATAAAATTTTTACTTATTTTTCAGAATAAATTTATAAAAAATAATATAATAGTAAATTCATTAAAACACTCTTTCCCAAAACATGATTACCATTATTATCTTTTATTAATAAACCAAACCGTTGTTAACCCAATTTTCCATTTCTTCTCTTTTTTCTAACTAATGTTATCATTTCTTTTCTTTTCCGTTGTATAAAACATTTTAAAAAATTACACTAATTTTTTAAATTTCCCCTCTTATGAATATCATAGACAAAAATATACATTCTAACGCTCATTTGAACAAACTCGATGCATATAATATTGTGTGGTCTGAACATTGCAGTTTCTCATTCCAGAACCTGCACACTGGTTGTTTGCTTTGCACTAATCATTTATTCATCATTGGATAATTTCACTATTTTATTCCAAAACCAAGCATTTTTTTAAACCTTAACATCATCAAAGATGGAGACCTGAGCTTCCTCTGAAATCTACAAATTCAATACTGACTGACTGACAGACCATCCCCTCTACTTGGACATCAGAGAGACCCCAAGAAAGAATCAGCTTCAAAGCTTCTCTGAGAGAAAGAGCTTCTGCTACTATTGCCAAACCGACGAAAGGTAAAAAAATACTGAAGCAACTCTAATAGGAAAACCAGAGTGAGTTGGAAGAACAAAGCCACCACCAGCTTGTTTCTTCAAATCGTCAAAAGCAGCGTCAAAATTCAGTTTCAACTGCCCTTACTTGTGGATGGAGCCAGAACTTGTTTCGTCTCTTGACTTATGAAAATTCAATATAATCTTGCAAGAGTCTTTTTTATTAAAGACAATCATTTCTATTCTTCCACAAATTCCAGCAAATAAAGGAGGCCAGACTTGAACATGCAGCTCAATTATTCTCCTTTTTCCTACCACGGGAGAGACTGATCCCACCTTCTTTTTTGCCACGACAGAGAACCTGAATTTGCGAAGTCCAATCTCAAAGGGCTTAAGCACCACAAATCAGCCTGAGCCACATGAAACCTGCAGAGAGTATGATCAACTGTTTCGACATCTGAACCGCACATTTGGCAGATGGCTTCTTCCTCTCTTACAGAGCTGAAATTAGACTCTGAGCTTCTCATGCAGGCTCTGCAAAACATCTTGCCAACCCTTAATATAGTCCTGTTCAGAGCTGCACTCTGCCCTTTTGAGTATTATGAGAAACTTGACGGGATAGAGACAGAGCTAGGAAATAAGTTCCAATGTCCACCTGCATAGATGCTATGCTGAGACAGGAAGATATGAGTCAAATTTAACATTTCACACTATTATTACATATGAAATGAATCATCTGAGACAAACTCATATCCTCTTGCTAGTTAGCCCGAAATGCAATAATCATCTACAAAATATCCAGCAGAAAGAAAGAACTAAATAAATTAAGTGAAAGATACATTAAAAATTGCATATCATTCCTTTCTCAAATAATTTACAACGCTGGGGTGCCTGTAATCCCAACAAGAATTTATACACCTAACTTCATGAAGCTAATAAATTTATTTATTAAAAAAAAAAAAATTGTACAAAGTACAAGGGGACTACTTTCAGCTGACTAACAGCGACATCAAAATGACAAAAAAAATTACAAAATAATTATAGATATAAAAGCCACATACAATACACTATAAAGGTATCAAAACATCCAGTATACAGACTAGCATCAGGTGCAACAGCAGGATGTGTTAGGAGGCTTACAGTTACAGCAGTAGGGAAGCTCCAAATTATAACATTTTTATTCAACTGAGCCAGAATCATTTCCTGTAAAATTACAGATATATTTTCCACTCTTTCTCCTCATCTTTTTCTAAGGCCTCTTATTTCATTGAGGAAGAGAAGAAAGTATATCTTACCCAAACTTGGCAGTTATTACACCTTCAATTGATCCAACCAATGCAAACATTAACACGAACAAGCAAACAGTGGTATAGGTACGAAGGACAATGAACTTGGTTGTCCAAGCTTCAACATTTTTATGCGCTAAGTACATTTCCGCAGGGAAAAATATAACTATAGGCCAAAAGGTCAAGGCTCCAGCCACTCCAACAACTTGGTTGAAGTATGGGAAAACAATTGCGATTCCAGTTGTAAATGCAACATAAGCAGTCCGGAAACACAATCTTAAGAGGCTTAATCTCAAAGCTGGCAAATGTGGGAATTTCAAGGTATAATTACGATTTATAAATCCATTGTTTGGGAACTTCTGAGCAATCAATCTTTCTGCAATTGCAAACAATGGCTGACTAAATACCTGGCAAAGATAAGGAAAATTTAATCAGTCGCAATCTAAATTTACATAAATATCAACAATATGTATTTCTATTTTATTTTATTTTATTTTGGTGTTGTGGGGTGGGTGGAGGAGGACAACAATAGGCTATATTTGAGCATTTTAAAGCTTCTAAGAGCTGGTTATATGGTAGTCACACGTACTAACAGTACCAAAGGTAGCAGTGCCAATCAGTCAAATATATGGCCATTGAAAGAGAGAAAACCAACCTCCACTTGTGGTAAATAATAGAATTATTATACAATATAGTGTCTGTTAGTGGTAAGAATTATAATATATTAATCATAAGGACTGCATAAAATAAGCAGTGACATTTTAATATCCATTGGGTAGTACCTGATATCCTCCAATTAAATGAAGAACGATGCATGCGTTCGCAAAGTCAATGAGCCAGTATGGCTCGTAGAATCCGAATCCTGTCAAGAGGTTCCCTGGTGTAGAATTCCCAAAAGCTGCATAGCCAAATCCTCCACAGCAAAGGTAGAAAAAGGTTGTAATACAGATTGCCATCGTGGAGGCCTTCTGCATGGTGATCATTTCTGATGGTGGCTTCAACGTATCCTTCATATTTTGGGAGTTTCACCATTCAGTATTTTCCCATTATTAATGTTGTTTTTACAGTGAAATTTGTTTATAGAAATGCAAAATTGTTGCACCTGTATCTCAAGCAGAACTATGGTGAATGGAAAGGCAAAAGCAATGTCGCCAAGTGATTGAGAAACCAACCATACTTTTTCAGCCACAGTAGAAGTTGGCACTCCTCCAATGCTACCTTTAATTTTTCCATTTCCTGCAGTTTCAGGTTCAAGAAGCTAAATTTTAAACTGAGAAGTTCTGCATTCTTATTGGTTTCGACGGACTCATATAGGTTTCAGGTTTCTTACAACTTTCACCTCATTTCAACCTCCACAATTATTGTGGTGACAGAACAACAGACCGTATACTCAACCATACCTATCACTTTTGCTAAGCCAAGTGCTGATCCGATGATAGAATAGGTGAAGGACATTACTGCAGCAACAATCGAGAGCCATTTTGTACCATGGAAATCAGGTATCTGAGACACTACACTTTGAATAATTCCAAATAGAAGCATGTAAAAAGTAATTCCATAATTACAAGAAGCCTTATGCCCTTCTTTATGGTAACAGTTTGATTTCATAATCGCTCTGCACACATTATTAAAAGAAAAAGAAGATAATAATTAAGGAATTGCGACAAGTTGAAATCAAAGAAAAGCACTGATAATGTGTCTGCAGGCATATTCAACTGAGAATGTTACGACAAAACCAAACATTTTTAAAATTATAGACCAGACCAATTTCAAAATCAGTACAAACATCAGTAGGGATAAAAAGAGCTTCTGTATGCATATATGATTCATTGATAATATATTTTCATGAATTAAATTGAATCAGTAATAAGATTATGTATTAACTCAGTATCTTACTTCCTATTTATTCACAATTTCTTCTTTCATTTGTTTTGCCAAGGCCGTGTAGTTATGCTTAGTTGAATTTACAAATACTTTACCAGCTTGAGGATACACTTTTTGAGTGTCCATGGCCTCCATTTGGAACTGCCTGTGTATATAGTCAGTTGAATTTTCTGCGAGAGGTTACATGCCATTGAATTAAATTACATCGTTGCATTCCTTTAGGGCCACAAGACTATGGATTATTTTCTCAGATGCTCTTGAGATAACATAGCAGTTCAAGGACCATTTATCTTTTTTTCTTTTTATCATATGAATAATGTGAACAAGAAAAAATCACGGTGGGACAAGAGAAGCTTAGTAACATACCTCATGCTGATTGCAGACGTAATGGTATAGACGATTCCAACCTTGACAAAATTTATATTTACAAAAATACCACACAGCCACGCGCTCTTATTTCCTGAAACGCCGGTTTCATCATGAACTGCCATACCTACTTACTTTCTAATAACAAAAATGATTTGCCAAAATGTAGTTCCTGTGATGGCTGAATCATGTCCTTGGAATTAGGAAACATGTCTACCTACTGGTTATCTACAAATGATGATTTTACTAGGCGAAAAATTTCAGTGTTTTGCCGCCAAAACAAACAGAACTTCCTTTGATGTTGGGATGTTAATGGCCTATGCTTAAGGATTGTTCTCACCTTATGAAAAATAAACTCAGTGTATCATGAAAAACAACGTTTTTTACTCCCACTTTTATGGTGACTAACTACAGTTTAGATCAACCTGTCCACAATGTTGCATATATGGGAATGGTCCACGAGGGCATGAGAATACCTTATCTTGATACATTTCTAAGCATTTAACACTACAAAGATAAGGTATCAAGATAAGTTATTCTCGTGCCCTCGTGGGAATACCTTAAATGTTTAGAAATGTATCAAGATAAGGTATTCTCATGCTCTCGTGGGAATTTTAAGCACCATTCCCATATACCCATCTACGGGGACATGAACCCTCGGAAGGGAGGAAGTAACACCATATTCGTAAATCCTGTTTTTCTTTTTATAGAATTTATCGTATTGCCATGTCCATATGATGTCGTATCTTTATCGGCTTTTATGCTATATAGATGGGAGTTGTTTCAACTAAGTAGAATAAAGAATGTAGCTATATATCTTCTTACCTAAAATATTCTTAGCAGCATCAAGGTAAGAGCGATTTCTGGAGTCAGATTTAGACATGTAGCAATTGCATAGAAGAGATGCTGAAACAAAGGTGATTGATGCAAAGGACAGCATGGTCAATGGACCTGCAATCCACCCTAGCTGAGCCATGCTCCATGCCAGAGATAGTACCCCTGACCCTATTACTGCTGTTATTATATGTGCCACAGCAGTCCATATGTTCCCTTCATCACAATAAATACATATGCCAAATTAACATGCATATAATAGCAGACATCAATAGTATATATACAAACACATATATCTATATATTTACTAAACATATGATTATCCTATATTTGGAACACAAGCTATAAAAAATGTTACAAAAACAAAGGTGAAATTAGAAAAATATAGTGACCTTGTATTTGGATAATCTTACTCTTCCCAACTTATAGAAGTTCAAAATTAAAAAGAGAGAAAAAAAAAAAAAAAAAAATCCATAAAGATAATAGTATTTTTGACCCATTTGATAATAGTATTTGGATAATTTCTCATTTGATACTTCTGAAATTGGGGGATTTTTTGACCCAATAGTATTTATTTACAAGAACCAATATTCAAATTATATACTGCTATGTATCGAGTACACAATAGTATAAATATAAGAGAACCTTGTTTTTTCCCCCCAAAAAAGTTTAATCATGCTGCAATGCAAAATTTTAGCTTGGTCTGTAAATATAACTCTCTCTTGCTAAACATGTGATTATCCAGGACCATATACTATCAAAAATGTTTTAAAAAAGAAGAAGAAGATGACATTGGAAAAATACAGTAATCATGTAATAAAATAACCTTACTTTTCCAAACTTTTACAAGTTAAAAATTAAAATTGGGAAAAAAGAAAGAATACCCATAAAGATAATATCATTTTTTATATCCGTAGGATGCAGATTTTTGATATTTCTGAACAAAAAGGTGGGATATCGTGGACTGAAATTGGGATTTTCTTTTTTAATACTGTTCTTATTAATCGGAAGGTCGTTGACTTGGATCATTATGTGGGGAATTTAAGAGATAAAGAGGACAGAGAAAAATAGAAAGAGTAAAAGATAGATAGACGAACCAGTTCTCTTGAGGGAAGGCGTCGCTGTGTCTGTTTGAATAGATGAAGGTTGATGATTTAAAGGGGTCAGAGTGTCCGACATTCTTCTAAGCTCATAACCTTCGCAAGTATTTCTCAGTTTCCAAACACACACACAAACAAGGGTTCAATATTTCGAGAGCAGTTACTCTGATCTCATCAGACCAAAAACACACGGTGTTTTGACTTGAAAGGGAGGCAGTCCCCGGCATAAATTATTATATGGTCACAGTCAATCACAACTCACAAATTTTAGTGACTGAGTTGTAATTGGCCCGCACAGAAAGAAAAAATCAAATTTTTTTTATTTAAATTAAAAAATTATTAAATAGTTTTGATCAATTACAACTCACAACTTTAGTGACAGAATTGTAATTAGCTGGCACCTTTGAATGGAAAAATAAAAATTTCCATGCACGGACTGAGAAATTGTTCTCTTGGACCACTGATTTCATACCAATTTTTTTTTTAACACTTTGACACGCCAATAAATATATTAAAATTGTATCTTTCCAAAAATTAAAATTGTGTAATCTTTATTTAATATATAAGTAATAAATTTTCCCATGGATCACTGTCGAATAATAGATAATAGAGAATATGGCTCGTAAGAAACAAACAAGTAGGTTATGCAAGAAGGATTTTTATATATATTTTTAATTTATTATTATTATTATTATTATTATTTTTTTACTTTCAAATAAAACTATGAAAGCAAGTGATGGTTCTATTGCTTTAGACAGACTCTAGTCCAAAAAAAAAAAAAAAAAAAAAAAAAAATCTCTCTCTCTAGTCAATGTGGAATAAAGTAGAACTGTAGAAGCCTAGAAGAAAAAAAAAAAATCTCTCTCTCTAGTCAATGTGGAATAAAGTAGAACTGTAGAAGCCTAGAAGGACAAAGACAACTTTGAATAAAGAGGAAAATACAATAATATTGAATTAATTGCACAAAACACTCCATAAAAGGTGGAAGGACAAAGACACCCTTGGATAGAGAGGAAAAATGAAACACTATTGAATTAATTGTACAAAAAAACTCCACGAAAGGTGGAACAACAAAGGCATTCTTGGATAAAGAGGAAAATGAAAAAATATTTGATTAATTGAACAAACACTCCGTGTAATTGAGAGAATTAGGGATAATTTCAAAAAAATTAAATTTTTGGAGGTGAATTGCCAAATTTATAGAGTCAAATTTACCCTTTCCCCAAAAAAAAAGGATTTACGGAGGCTGATTGCCAAAAACATGGAAATCTACTGTACATTGAATTTTTATTCCCAAACTGCCCCTTTTCCTGTTGAACCGGGTCTTCCTGCTGTTTCTACTACTCCATCACCGGTTGGAACAACAAAGCCGCGAACGGCATGTGCCGGGGAGCTCGATTCCCACAGGCTATGTGTGGCACAAGTCCAACCTACAAGAACACATCAATTGGGAGGCCGAAACCGACTGAGGAGATGACGATACGGGGAATGGTTCCGGCTGCAGTGGAGATGTGGTCGGCTGGGATAGTGCCCTTCAACCAAACCCTACTCTATTAACCTTCAAGTTGGCATATATATCAAGATTTTGGTTCAATCAAGGGGTTCAACCATGGCTTGGTTCAATCAAGGGGTTCAACCATGGCTTCAGTCCTTGTTTCTCATGGTTTTGTCTCAAGAGAAATCACCAAAGCTTTAGCCTCACCACTTCTTCCTCGTTCCTCCAAGCGACCCTGTGTGACAGTTCAGCGCTCCATGCAGGCCTCTACCTCTTGGTTCTCTCATCGTCATTAAAGTGACTCCTCGTTATCACAGTGCCTGATATCAACATAGAAAAGGACATTGCATATATGGAAGTGGTTTAAAATATAATAATTTAATTAACAATGATATTGATGTGTTTGGATTGACATGTCATGGGATTTAGATTTATATTCAAACTTTATTCTACAGAAGGAGGGAGGAGAAACAGAGAGAGCGGCGCGAGGATGAAGACGCCTGCTGCCGGCGAACAGGGTGGCTTCTCCAATGATCCGGGTTTTGGTTAATTAGTAAATTTGGTAAAAGGGTAATATGATTATTTTCCAAAAGAGTAAAAGGGGCAATTTGGTAATCAAAACAAATTCCATGTTTTTAGAAATATTGACTTTGACTTCATAAATTTGACACTCATTTTTATTTTTTTATTTTTATTATTATTTAGAATTATGCTTATTTTTTATTATTCACAACATTTTCACAGCAACTTTTAATTTTATTCTCAACATTTTTAATTTTAATCTTGTTCTCAACATTTTTTAATCTTTAACTCAACGCTTTTTAATCTTGTTCTCAACACTTTTTAATCTTATTCTCAACAACTTTTAATCTTGTTATCAACACTTTTAATCATGTTCTCAACACTTTTTAATTTCTAACTCAACACTTTTTAATCTTATTCTCAACACCTTAAATCTTATTTTCAACACTTTTAATCTTGTTCTCAACACTTTTTATTCTTGTTGTGAACACTTTAAATCTTATTTTCAACACTTTTAATTTTATTGTCAACACTAGTAATGATGTCATATCAATGGTTGGTGAGTATGCAGGATTTCTTTTTTCCTGGAGAGGATCCTTATCCTATATATATAACATATAAAATTAAATTCTTGTTCAAAAAGCAATTTCATAATTTTAGATTAAATGCGATTCTTTTAATCAAGAATGGTGTGTGTACAAATCTAATCATACTGGCATCTGCTTTAATTTGATGAAATATTTAATAAGTTTCATTCTTATGTAGACAAGAATGCAATATGATGCATTCACCACCGAACAAATCAATAAAAAGATTAACTTTGTTAATTTTGAGGTTGATAATTTTTTTTTTCTTTAAAGAAGATAAAGAAAGGGAACAAATCAATCAAAAGATGAACTTTGTTTAATTCACTTATAAACAAAGGAAACAATATTTCTTGATGCATTTCTAATTAATTTGCTTAATTCAATCAAATTAAAAAAATGAACTTATAAGTCAACCAGATAAAACCAATGGATAATCAAATATACACGTTGCAACACTATCTTATTTGAAAAATCATTTACATATCTTTTGCATAATATCCCTCAACTTTTGAATGTGTTTTTTTTTATCTTTATCTAAAAGTAGCTCCAATCCAAGCTTGCATCTCATTTCATATGGGTCTACCTGCAAACAAAGCAACCACACCAAATTACATTTAGACATATGAATTTTGAAATTTATAAGATGAAGCCACTACGGATATAAATTTTTTTAACATACTGTGTCGAACTTGAGCTCCAATTCGCCATTAAAAAGTTGCATGTACCTCGTCATGAATACTCCACAACTATCCCTAATATTCAATAACATGGACAAAAATTTTATGGCAAATTGAGATCTTAAATAACATTTTAACATACTAAAAAAATTTCGTGATAAAATTAGTTAATTTTCTTTAAAAAAATAAATAAAATAAATAAAAAAACAAACTTATACCCATCGGATTGTTTTGGGACTTTCACATCAACAATTTTGAATTTTTTGAATTTTTTGTTAAATAAAACTTCCATGAATTCCTTCTGCAATTATAAATGATATTCATACACGTTAGTAAATAACATTGAAACTTCAAAACTAACATAAAAAAACACAATGATACTTCTAATCAGGAGTTCATTAAAACCTCATTACCAATAAGTAAGCATGTTTTCTTCTAATCTTGTTGTCAAGGGAGACCAGGTAATAAATTGTTAATTTGTCAATATCAACAACGTAAAGGAGCCAATGGTTGTCATTTGACGTAGGGAAAAAGAATTGGAACACATCATAATTATAAATATAAAAAATAGAATGAAACATGAATAATTAAATGAATCATACATACCTGTCTACATTTTAAAATTTCATCTTTATTTAATTTAAACAACGCCAAGCTATTCCTCCATACATCTTTCAAGAAACCTCTCCGTATACTTCCAACAAGCTCATGAGCCTTTAAAATTGATGACTACACACGTACAAATCATCATCAACAAATGCCTGAATCATTGATAAAATTAAATTTTATACAAAAGACTTACCCTAATAGAAGAACAAAAAAGAAGTATTTCTTTTGATAAAACAACAATTTATACAAAAAACTTGCCCCAAATTTTGGTTTCCTATCTTTCTCCTCTACCTCTTCGACAACAAAAAAGAGGTTTATAAGGAAGAACCGAGTTTTCTTTTCGAGATAGCATGAAAATTACGAAGGAAAAATCAGCATACAAAATTTATATGTTAAATTTTTTATTCTAAATGATTTGCCTTTTCCAGTATTTGAATTTGACGGGAATAATCGAGCCAATTAGAAATTTATGGAACTTCATTTTTGGTGAAGGTACGAGTTTTTTTTTTTTAAGTTATGTGTTGTGTTTTTTTATAATTTAGACTAATCTATAACTGAATACTTTTACTATCATTTGTTTGTCGAGAAAATGGAGGGGAAAATGAATTAAAAATTTCATTCTGATGTCGATTGGGTAACCAGTATTTGAATAACTTCACTCCATTCAAGCCAGAAGCGTGAATTAAAATATGTTAATTCTGGAAGGTATTAAACAATGAAATTCCAATTGATTCAGATTCAGATTTTGTTTTCTCTTCCCACGTTTTACCGGCAATCAAACTGAACGTTAATTCTAATTTTAGTTTTGTTTAATCTCTAGTTCACTCCATTCAAGCCAGAAGCGTGAATTAAGATATGTTAATTCTGGAAGGTATTATACAATGAAATTCTAATTGATTCAAATTCAGATTTTGTTTTCTCTTCCCACGTTTTACCGGCAATCAAACTGAACGTTAATTCTAATTTTAGTTTTGTTAATTTTAGTTTTGTTTAATCCCTAGTTCTATGATATTAAGACAAATCTTCTCAAGTACAAGTGCTAATTGTTAATTACCTAATTTCTCTAATTCTCATTACACTTAAGTTGCATGAGTTTTGTCACTACAATTGCATGAAACATAACGATGATAAACGTATGACAACTAATATATATATCTCGAAATAAAAATAAATAAATAAATGAGAATCTAAATGGAGTCATGATTTGTGAATGATCGTTGGTCATACTTAAATACAAATTATTCATATTCCACCTATTACTTTAGGTTATGGATTATCAATTATCTATATTTGCTTTTGCTTTATTTTTAGTGTGAATATTATACATTGTAAATTGATATATGGGAGGAAATTAAATTTAGATTAGAATAACCCAAAATTTGGTTTTCTATCATTCTCCTTTGCTTTTTCGACAACAAAAAAGAGGTTTATACAGAAGAACCGAGTTTTCTTTCCAAAATAGCGTGAAAATTCAAAAAGGAAAAATCAGCATACAAAATTTATATCTTGAATTTTTGATTCTAAATGATTTGTTTTTTCTAGTATATATATACTGTGCAGAAATAAGTGTGATTTTTAGGGAGAGAGTTAGGGTTTATGAGGAGGAAAAGAGAAAGAAAGGGTGAGTATTTGAAAAAACAGCCGCCTGAAAAACCCAGTACCCAGTATGCTATTTTGAGATATATCGTGACGAGAGAGGGAGATGGCGTACGGTGACAAGGGAGGGAGGCTCTGAAGTTTGTTTTCTTTTTTTTTTTTTCTGTTTGTTTTTTTTGGCAGGGATGCGGCAGAAAGGATATTTTATTTTCCTTTTTTTATATTTTGTTTTCCTTTTTTTCTTTTACTTTTTTACTTTCTATATATATATTTTTAACCTCGTTCCTTTTTCAGTTGGACTCTACAGTTACTAATTTAAAAACAATTTCTTTTTTCACAACAGTATGGGCACAACACGACCTGTTTACATCAGATGATCCCAATCCGCGTTTTAGAGCTAAGCTAAATGAGCTCAAGTTTGAACTAGGAGTTTAACTAAATTTAGGTAGCTTACTTTTGGAATTACTTTGACTTAGTTTGACTTGAATATTTTGCACTAAATTTGTATCTCTAAGTAAACAATAGGACAATCACCTATGGCAATAAATAGTAATGTTCTTTAATTTAATTTGGAGTTTGTAATAGATCATCACTTTTGGTGAATCCTACCAAAGGCGGGTTAAGTCAAACAGAATGTAAGCGAGAAGAAGTAAGAGTTAGAGTAAGAATGCAAAATTAACAAAATTTAAATTACAGAATAAGAATGAGTGCGAAGCATAAAAACAAAAATTCACGAGGAGCACAAGAGCTATCCTTGTTTAAAATAATTCTACGACTTATGTTAAGAGTATTCCTTTTTCTTTTCAAATCACTATAAAAGGATCAAGTTGCATTCTCTGGAAAAGTAAAAGTAAAGTATAAGAATGTGTACCTAAAAGAAGGAATCTGTTCTTGTCGAGCCTAATGTCGACTGAGACCCTTGATAGTGGAGGGTGGACCTTAATACCATCAAGTAGTCATCCAATTTTCAGTCCCGAGACTCATCATGAGATCACTGGTGGTAACATGTTACCTGTACCACTCAATTCATTATGAAATGGAATAAAGTAATAATTTCTAATAACTTGGACCTCCACTAAAGTTTCAATAACGACCTCTCATGTTAGTATTGAATGTTTTTTATTATTTGGACATTTTTTAAGGGAGGAAAATGTAATAAAATAAGGTAAGTTTTATTTTTTTGCATTAATAAAAATAAAATTAGAGTTGAAAAAACATAAATATTAATAATTGAATACTTCAGTCACAATATTAATAGTTTGATCAGATTAAAATATATATATTAATGAATTAAAAATTTCTAAAAAAATTGATGTTTCAAACATGAAAAAAGAAAGAAAAGTAATTTGCATATTTGTTGGAAAGGGCAAAAAAAACAAAGAAAAAGAAAGAAGGGGTTGAACGGGTCAGCTCGTCTGACCCGAACACATTTGGGTTCGGATTATTGTCAAAGCCCAATTTTTTTGACATCGGGTCAGCCCAACCCAATCCGACTTCGGGTTGAGATCGGGTGGAACCGGGCTGGGTTGGGCCTGCCCAATTTGCAGGCCCAGCTACTACACAGTAGGTACATAAGATATTTAATATTTTTTGGTTTGGAGGATTAAATTAAAGAAAAAAAAGGGTTTAGGAAAATGATACAGAATTCAAAGGTTGCTAAATGTGGATATTTTGAGTGGGATGTGAATCACATGATATTATGTGATGAGTTCTATTCCCCTACTCATATAATTTCTATTCCGCATTTTTTGAACCGTAGGATGTATCATCAATTAATAAATTTATGATAAAGGAAAAAATAAAAAAAATGAGGAAACACGGTAATCAAATGCATTAATCAAATAGTTCCATTTATATAATATACAGTGGTAGGGTCCTTATAATCCCTGAAAATTTGAGGGTTCTCGGTAATGAAAAAAAACTACTTCTCGGTAATGAAAAAAAACAAAAACATCTAGACCTTTATCATCATAACTGATTCTGCATATAATCGTTTATGGTTTAAAAAAAAAAAAAAAAAATCAATGTATATAGTAACCCCCTTGTCATTTGGATATAAGTAGCAGTATTTCCTAGCTCAACTTTGCAGTTATTAGCCCTTCAAATGATCCAACCAAGGCAAACATTGTCACAAGCAAGCAAAAAATGCTAAAAACTTGAAGAACAATCCACTTTGTTGTCCAGGATCCAATGTTCTTCTGGATAAAGTACATTTCCACAGGAAAATAAATAGACAATGGCCAAAAGTTGATTGCTCCCAACACTCCCAAAACATCGTTGAAGTAAGGGAAGATCATTGCAATTCCGGTTGCTGACGCAACGTACGCCGTTCGAAAACACAGCCTGAGAAGATTTAATCTGAGGCTCGGTAACAATGGTAGTTTCAAAGTGTACTCTCTATTCACAAATTCACTGTTGGGGTACTTCTCGGCAAACCATTTATCCACAAGTGCGAAAAGTGGCTGACTGTAAACCTGCCAAGAAACAAATATGCAAGGGATTAATGAAATTCCTTGCACTCTAAATTTACATTGATTAATCGATCAGAACCATTTTCATTTTGGGCATAATCTATGCTGTTGAACTATGTCTTACTTATAGTATGATCGAGTTTCTACTTTAAAAATTGCTACTTTTTTATATGAAAAGCTACAATTCCTTTTGAATCAACAAGGAATTCAGGTTAGGATTTTCTAAATAGACATTATTGGTTTGAAATGCATGGGAGAGGTGTGCAGTATTGTTAGAGAGAGCTCATCACTCCTCACACGGTTTTGTCAAGTGGCGCAAGTGTGAGAACATCAGGAAAAAGCAGGGCTCCATCACCGGCCATGGGCTTGTTTGGGTTCTAGGGCTGTTTCTACTCTACCCTGAAGCTATGTTTGGGAGCACCGAATTGACATATTGGAATTGGAGTAAATTTAGTTCAAACTTTGAACTAAATAAACAAGCACGCATAAGGAGCACTATATTTATCATGGTCCAACAATACCATGCCTGCATCCATTTATGAGAGATGATTTCATTATAATTAGAGTGAAATTACTTATGTGCATTTGGGAGCACCGAATGTGCGCCTTTGTTTTTAACCATTGTTGGTCATTGCATCTCTGTTTGTATGATTCTGTAATTCTTCGAAGGCTGACTGCACCAAAATTCATATCAATGTTTGGACTATATTGCACAACAACTGATTTCATCCAACAAGCTTTAGCAAAACATATATTGTAGTTTAAGCAAATTCAGAGATTAGGATCTCCTACTAGAAGCAGAGGAGGCAACGGTTAACATGATTTTGACTATTGAATTCAAGGAAACAAAGTTATGAGTGTCACGATACGACATCAATGCATAACGCGAACAAGACGATTAAGGTGTGTGATAGTTCAACAGAGAGTAGTGGTACCTGGTATCCTCCAACTAAATGAAGAACAATGCAAGCGTTGGCAAAATCAATAAGCCAATATGGTTCGTAGAATCCGAATCCCGTCAAAAGATTCCCAGGAGTAGAATCACCAAAGGCTGCATAACCAAATCCTCCACAGCAGAGGTAGAAGAAGGTGGTAATACATATTGCAATAGTTGAGCCCTTCTTCATGGTCTCGTTTTCTGGAGGGGGCGACTTCAAAGTATCCTTCATGTTTTGCAAATTGTATTATATACTTTAGATTCTACATGGCTAGAATTATTCGACTTTGTCTAGTGAAAAGTGAAAATGGCATACTTGTATCTCAATGAGAATTATGGCATATGGATAGGCAAAAGCAATGTCCCCAAGAGCTTGAGAAACCAACCAGACTTTTTCAATTGTAGTAGAAGTTGAGATTCCTCCAACGTTTCCCATAATTACTCCGTTTTCTGAAATTATAGGCACAAGAAGATGAATGTCATTGAAGATGTTGCTTTCCTTTTTTCATTTTTTTTTTTCGTGTTTGAATGTAAATTCATCATATGGTTAGCAAGATAAAAGAGAAAATTCACAACCATACCAATCACTTTTGCAACGCCCAGTCCAAATCCAATGAAAGAATAAGTGAAAGACATGATTGCAGCTACAATCGAGAGCCAATCCATATCATGAAAACCAGGTATCTGAGACATTACAATTTGGACAGCTCCAAATAGTAGCATATAAAAAGTATCTCCATATTCACAAGCAGCATCATGTCCGTACTGGTGGTAACAGTTTGATTTCTGTATCGCTCTGCATCCATTAAAGGAACAAAAAGATCACGAGAAAGAATGCTTGAGTTTGTAATTAATGGAAAAAGCTTCAAATCCCATACAAGCTTATTTGTAAAAGAAATCTATGGTACTGTGTAATATTACCTCATGCTGGTTGCAGAAGTAATGACATATGCAATTCCGATTCCGTACAAGCTTATTTGTATAACAAGTCCACACACCCAAGCACTTCTTTTTCCTGAAATAATCCTAAAGTTCATAACTTTTCATAGAACTATGTAACAAATTCTCTTAAAATATAAATAAACATAAAGGCATTTAACTATAGAACCTTCCAATAAACAAATGTTTGCACATTATGATTGTAGATTTTTCCGAGCTCAAACTCATAGAACTATGCTTCTTAACTTAAAAGACGCAACAAAGCTACTGTATCACATTAGTAGTGCGTAGCCATATAAGCATGGCATTTGAAAGAGAGAGGTTATGGTGTGACCCTTATAATTTGTTATTTGGCTGAAAAAAATTTGTCTAAGGACAATATGAAACAGTACTCCATGCCGCCCATACACTTTTGTCCCTTCCGCTCTTGATAGATGAGGAAAAAGGACTGGTCCTAGAGATTCAAATGTGACATGCTCAACAAAAAACAGTTCCTTAACTTCCTTGTGTATGAACTCCATATATTAAATGTAATATGTGTGTCACAGAGGGAGGTGCAATACGTTGCTTTAATTTGATTCGATTCTAAACATTACTTTGAGAATAATTACTGTTTCTTTAACAATAAACACCCGAATCTTACATTATAATTGAGGTTGTTAATATATTAAATATACATCAATTGAGTTCAAGTGAGTGAGTTGGACTCTTTTAACCTGATATTCTTAAAGGACTCACTAGTTAGTGAACCATGATGCTAGATCATGACTGTACTAATATAAGGGCAAGACACAGATTGGTTTGTTTCATTTCACATAATCAATTACAACCGTACTGATTGTTACAATTTCATGAGTATTTGAACAAAATCCAATTCATCATTATTGAAGGATTACAAGCAGAGAATTCTTTTATTTACTTTTAGTAACTAAAGAAAGAAGGCTTCAACCCCTAATGGGATGGTAGAAGCTAATTGAACTGACACAACCCCTCAAACATAATCAATTCAATCTGGATAGACCGGTTTTTTATCAGTTCAATTCATGGATCGGATTTACCTAAAAACAGAACCCAACAATAACCAGGCTAACCCAAATTCAAGCCTTTATTCAATACTAATGGAATTTTGATTTGGGGTATGCAAACATCCGATAACAAATATTGCAATCAATCAAATCTAGACAAGTATACATCACAATTGGATTTGAACTTTTTAGGTTCTTTACACCCTAAACCGAGAAATGTACCTATCCTAGTAAAAGTGCATCACGCAACAAATTTTCCATCTATACAGGGTGTACCATGAGGAGAAAATTAGAGACAATGAACCTTGTTTTGCACTAAATGGCTGCTTAAGTTTGTAAACTCGAGTCTTTACTATTGCACCAAAAATGACCCTTAAATGTATCCATCCTACTGATTCATTAAAATCGGACAATTAAAACCAAACCAAACCAAACCAAGCATTACATTTTGATTCCATTTAATTTGTACCAAAAATGGACCACTACGCACCAATTACACACAAAACTAAATTGAAAAACAACTATTGATTTGTCATATTGTGGAGCATTTATAGTTTTCACATGATGCTTTGTGTGTGTTGGTTCAACTTGAAAAACAACTCTGAAAATTAAGTTTGCGCGCGCTAATCTAAATTGATACTTACCTAAACTAAAGTCAACAGCATCCACGTATGATCGATGTCTGGTGGGACCATACTCAGGGTCAGGTGATCTGTAGCAGTTGCAAAGAAGGAACGTAGAAACAAGGGTGATGAATGCAAAGAACAGCATGGACAATGGACCTGCAATCCACCCTAGCTGAGCCATACTCCAAGCCAATGACAGTACCCCTGAACCTATCACTCCCGTTATTATATGTGCCACTGCCGTCCATAGATTCCCTTCACATCATTTCAATTACTCTAAACATCAGTACAAACTACACACACACACACACTTATATATATATATATATATATATATATATATATATGATCAAATTAACCGAAACCCATTAAAGAATCGGAACATTGGATGGAGATTTTGTTTGTCTAAGAAGAAAATACAGCAGGAAAATGAAAAATCAAGTTGGGTTTTGATCAGAAAGGAAAGGAAAAGAGAAACAAACCAGTTCTCTTGAGAGTGAGGGGTGGTGTTTGGACTGCTTCATCAGGTGAGGATTCCCCTGGATGCAATAGAGGGGTCTGGTGATCATCTCCTCCTGTTTCTCCCATGGTTTTCAAAAGTGTTTCCCAGTTTGGCACCTGAATACTCAGAGAATATGTGATACACGATTGTATAATATATGTATATGCACGTGTACATATGTGGAGAGAAAAAGAGAGAGATACAAGTATACAACGTATTTATATAAGTGCCGGCTTGAATGTTTGGTAGAGTCTGGTTGGTGGCTTTTTTTTATATTCTAGGAGTGCGTTACTTTTCAAAATATGATACCATATCTTAGTTGGGTTATGTGCTTATGTCTTCCTTCTTTTTCTTCTCTATTTTGTTAATTTTTATTTGTTGAAATAATATAACAAGTAAAAATGATTACAAGCTTTAGCATGATTGTAATAACTCGTTCGAAGTCAACTAATTGATTAAAAAAGTTTTAAACATAAATTTAATCTCCCTATATTTCTCTAACAAACAGGCTGATTTGAGATATAAATTGAATGAATTTGATAGTATATAAGGTGTTTTGATTTTAATTGAAATGACAAATACACCCCTTCATACCATAAAGTTAGTTCGGTTGGGTAACCCAAAAATGGAAGTTAGAAAAGTCCCCCTCTAGAATTATGGATGGTCCCAATTCTCAACAGCAAAATTTGGTAGAGCTCTAGGTTTTTAGGTGGCTATAAAATATTGATGTTCTTAGTTTTGACAAAAACACCTAAATAAAAGAGCTGAATGGTTCACATCATTTCTAAATTTGGAAATATTGAGATGTGCAGTTTATTGTAAGTAGTTAAATATTCATATTTTGGTTGGACCTTTTGAATGACTTGTTTGTTTCAAAGAAAACATAAGTTTTTATATTTTGAATCAAATAATTAATAAAGTGTTTTTTATGAAGTTAACCGAACACGATCTTAATATATATGAATTCGTTTGAGTTGGATTATTTACGTAACAAATTAATCAAGGATTGAATTAACAAAGTTAAAAGTACACAAAAATATTTAAATTGGTGCTTCTTAACAAAATTTATAGCCTATTGAACACTCAACTTGCCTCAATTATTTATTCAACAATTATTATGCAGAGTGGAAAGTCCAAGGACGCCATTTCTTTTTCATTGTCTTTGTCTACGTAAATGTTTGTTATATTGATATCAAAGCTCTCTCTCACACACAGAGACACACATACGTGCTACAAATTCTATGGGTGGATGATGTCGTACACGAAATTGAACGTACAACTCTGAATCTATTTTTAATTGAGGATCATTTATCTGACTAAGAAAAGGAATTGTCATGGTCTTGTGTGCATATGAAACTGCTAGGTTGGAGGAAAGAAGAGGAACGAAAAATGAATGAGAGAAAAGAAGGAAGTATGAATAATAAATAGGATGGATGAGTCATTCTTCTTATTTTATAAATTTTAATGTGAAAAGATATCTGAAACTATCATAAAAATTTTTAAATTACAAAATTATGATAAATATAATTTAAAATTTTATATATATTTTTTCCTTAACGAATACAGTAAGCCATCCGTTTGTTTTCTTTTCTTCCATTAGTGCTTAATGTAACAAAACATTGGTGCTTAATGTAATTTAATGAATGCCTTGTTGACCCACCAATTATGGAAAAGTAAAAAATAAAAAATTGGAGGAATAAATAAATTGTTACTTTCATCCGAATACGTAAAGTAACATTAGTTATGTTAGGAAAAAAATAATTTTTTTTTCTACCTACTCGCTGATGAGAAGGTACTCTCCATAATCATAGTCTAATTACAAATATACCCATAGTCTTAAATTACACAATAAAAAAATAATAAATAAAGAAAATAAAGAAGATGGGTGAATGTAGAATGTGATTTATCCATAAATAAGTTTTCCTGTTAATGTTTTTAAATTTTGTAATAAAAAATGATGTGTATTTTTGTGATTGGATCATATCAAGATGGCACCTAAAAAAAAAAAATGGACGGAGATGAAAGTGCGTGTTTAGTACGTCTTTTGGATAATTTAGGAGAGAAAGAAACGGCTTTAATGATGATGATAATTATTATAATAATAATAAGAATATTTTAAGTGTGGTATCTCCTTTATCCAAAGTGGATGTGTGAATTTCTTGTCCATAAAAAAAGAAAAAGAAAAAGAAAAAAAAACGCTAATATGTATTTCATTCTATAATCAATTAATGAAGAGCAATGTTGTCTTTGGGAGCTTGGGCTCGAGTCTTGGCATTTGCAAATACTACTATTAATAGTGAAAAAAATTGAAGAGCATCACCCTGCATTTTTAATTTTAGCTGAGTTTTGCACTTATAAGACCCTCAATTGATCCAATTAAGGCCACTACTGATACAAGAAAGCAAACTATGCTAAAAATTTGAAGAACAATCCACTTTCTTGTCCAAGCCACTATCTTCTTTTGCACAAAGTACATTTCCACTGGGAAATATATAGCCATGGACCAAAAGTTAAGAGCCCCCAACACACCCAAAACTTGGTTGAAGTAAGGAAAGATCATGGCAATTCCGGTCGTTGACACAACGTATGCAGTTCGGAAACATAGCCTCATGGGATTTAGCTGAAGAACCGGCAACAATGGGAGTTTGAAGGCGTAGAAATTATTCACGAATCCGCTGTCCGGGAACTTCTCAGCAAACCATTTCTCTGTCAATGCAAACAGTGGCTGACTATATACCTAACCAAGAAATTGCTAGTGATTAGAAGCAAATTTAACAACAACAACAATATTCAGCATCTCTAATGGTAAAAGCTCAAACTGACAAGAAGCGTGAAAGAACAAAGTTTAAGTTAACAAGTGTTACTAGCTTTATACTGCTTGTTAGAATATATATTGTTACCATGTATATAGGGATGGCAACGGGGCTATTTTGGGCAGGTGTACCCTCCCCCGCCCCCACAACAGTTTAGAAACCCCGCCCCGTCCCCGCCCAAAACCGCTGAAACGGGAGTCTTTTCAACCCATTCCCGCCCGTTTAACTTTTTTACCCCCGCCCAACCTCGTTTAGTTATAAAATTTATCTTCCTTTTTAAATGTTTTTCCTCAAATACAATTATACAACTACTGAAAAAAATCATAAAAAATAGACAATCAATAATTTAACATAAAATTCAAGGGTATGAACATTCTTAGTTCGTAGGGCTTTGCCGTTCTCTAAAACGGCTGAGAAAGTGAGTGAATGTGACGTAGGGTTTCTAGAGCTAACTATATATACTAATCAAATAAGAATAATTTAGTAATTTACCTACTTAAACGGGACGGGGTCGGCGAGTTTTCATTAATAAAAACCATCCCCGCCCAAGCTAAACGATCCCCCAAAACCGCTATAAAAGGGGCGGGGTGGGGCGGGTATCCGTCCCACGGGGCAAATTGTTATCCCTACATGTATAAGTTAACCATATAGCGTTTAGGTCTACTATGCATATATGATTTAAGCTTAATTACTTGCTCTCCACACATGTTGTCTCCTATATAAACCCCTGTGTATTTAGCATCTCTAATGGTAAAAGTGTGAAATAACAAGTTCAAGTATAACAACTGTTACTAGCTTTATGCTGCTAATGTGTTGTTAGGAGGTTAAGTTGTGCAAATTAAATTAGGTACTAGAGAAGCTTAATTGATGTGAAATAAGAAGTTACCTGATATCCTCCAACTAGATGTAGAACAATGCAAGCGTTGGCGAAGTCCACGAGCCAGTAGGGCTCATAGAATCCGAATCCCGTCAAGAGGTTCCCGGGTGTATCATTCCCAAAGGCTGCATAACCAAAGCCTCCACAGAGGAGGTAGAAGGCAGTGGTAACAAAGATTGCAGACACTGAGGCCTTCTTCATGGTCTGGATTACTGGTGGAGATGACTTCAAAGTATCCTTCATGTTCAAGAATCATAATTCAATTTTGAAAATGAGTTTGATATATATATATATATATATATATTTTGTTTTGAAAGATGTAGTGTTAATGAAAAGTGGAAATGAATCCATACTTGTATCTCTAGAAGGATAATTGTATATGGATAGGCAAAAGCAATATCTCCAAGAGCTTGAAACGCCAACCATAACTTCTCAATTATACTGTCAGTTGGGACTCCTCCAATGCTCCCTTTAATCTCCCCATTTTCTAAAATTGGAAAATCGTAGTAATTGACATTAGTTCAGATGGTATGGTCTCTATTCTCCATAGGAAAGGTTAAGCGTTCGAGCCCTATTAGGGGTAATATTGCGAGTTTATGTGCGTTTGCTTGAACTTTCGGATTTAAAAAAAGAAAAAGAAAAATAAATCGAAGGCATATATACCGATGACTTTTGCAAAGCCGAGGGCAAATCCAATGATAGAGTAGGTGAAGGACATGGTAGCAGCAACAATAGAGAGCCATGCCATGTTATGGAAATCTGGTATCTGGGACACCACAATCTGAGTGACTCCAAATATAAGCATATATATAGTTTCCCCATAGTCACATGCTGCATCATGCCCTTCTCTATGGTAACAATTTGATTTCTGAATTGCTCTGCATCATTAATACAAGAAAAAATAGTTACAATAAATATAAAGAAAACCATCAATTTGAACTCTCCTTTATCTATCAGGAAGAAGGGGAAAAAAAAAAAAAAAAAAAAACCTCCTTTTGGAAAGATTTGTACCTCCAAAATAAAGTAAAAATAAAATAAAAAATAACAATATATTTGAGATGATTGTAACTACACGGCTAAGACTATGTGCATAGTGTTGTATGATTACATACAAATACAGATTTAAATTACAAAAAGAAACTGATCACACAACACACAGCATTTTATATAATTCAGCTCAATTCACACAACACAATAATGTTGCTTTTAAAATTCAAATCTAGTGAAAAAAAGAGTATCCATTATTGTCGTAGTTCTTGCTATAATATATCAAACTCCATATATATATATATACATATATATACACATATACATTATTTGTTATTTATATGTATTCAAAAGAAAGAAAAAAAAAAAATTCTGGACACTTGACATGACAATTTCTTCTCTCGATTTTTTCCTTTATTGTCATATCAATTTTGAGTCTATGTTTATTTAATTGTATTATTCTTTTTTAGGTTATACTAAGAATAAAAAAAAGATAATAATGAGTCTCCTTAAGCTGACCTCCTTCATCTCCCTTATAACCAACCATTGGATGGTGAGGTTATGAGGTCAATTATTAGTCTACTTGTTATAAAGAGGCAAGCTCGAGTATGATAGACACTCTCTTAAAACTATATTGTAAGAATTTTATTGTTAATATATATGTGTATATTATATTAAATTTATAATTTTTAAAATCTTAATTTCATATTACTAGTTTGCCCTCCTAAATAAATATTTCTAGCTCCAACACTACTTCACAATACTACATCACTATCAATCTCATTTTCTCAAAGTATAAACTAAAACTCTAATAAGTGTATGTGCATATATATATACATATAGAGTGCTAACTCCCAATTACTGATAAGGATTACAATTTCATATTACACAAAAATTCTTTAAACATTTAAAACAAACTATAAATATGAATAAACATTGTACTGTTGGAATTTTTGCAACATTCGAAGAAGTTAAACATGTACCTCATACTGGCAGCAGATGTGATGGTATATGCGATTCCACAACCATATAAGCTCTCATTCACAAATATTGCACACATTTTTTTGTTCTTCTCTCCTGAAATATATATTAACACCCATTTTCACCTTTTAATTAATTACAACATCATATAACAATGAATTGTGGCCACATTACCCCCAAATTAGAGGAAATTAAAGTTTTAAACTAAATTTTCATGAATTCCAAAGCACCTATTCGACACTCTCAAATATAATATAAGTGTGATTCTTAAAAATTTACTTGTTTCCATTTTCAAAAAGAATTCATTAACTTTTAACGCTCACATAATAACTCTCTCTCTATATATAATCTTTTTTGCAATAATAACCACAACACTCCCTAAACTGTTATTATAAGATGATATATTTTTTTCAAACAAATAGTGATGCAAGACAATAAGTCAAAAAATAAAACTGTAATAATAGTGGAATAATAACATTTAATAATTTGAAAAATAATTATTTATAAAAAAATGGAAACATAAAATATCAACCTTAAGAGTCCTTTTGGCAACAAATTTAATTACCAAACTTTGAAGAGAAAAAAAAAAAATTGTTTGAATAAATGAATGCAACCTTTTTTTATAAGAGCAAATAAAAAAAAATAAGAAGAAGAGGAAGAGGAGTAAGAATGAAAAGAAAGAAAAAATTAAAGATATTTTTAAAAAATAATTATTTTAGTGGGCATTTTTGTAAAATTTTATAAATTATAGGCCTATTTGCAATAAAAATTAATTTTTCCAAGGGTAATTTTTCACCTTTTTTTTTTTTTATTTTTTATATAAATTTTGGCCTATGTGTAATAAAAATTAATGGCCATTTTCTAAAAAAAAATTATTTTACGGGGGCATTTTGAAAACTTTTATAAATTATAAGCCAATTTATAATTAAAACTAATGGGCCAGCATGTGTCCCCCTGGGCTTATGCTGGCTCTCCCTGATTATGCACATAATTATTTACTATATAGGCATTGAGAATTATCAAAAAATTTATAGTTAATAAAATTTTGATTTATTATTATTATTATTATTATTATTATTGTGCATCCACAATTTCAATTTCACTGTTAGAGTCGTTAAGAAAAAAATTCAATGGATGACTTTACTGGTTTTGAATAGCAACAAAGACGGACTTGCACGCAACACCAAACCGCGTTGTTACCAGGCAATATTTCAAATGGGCCCACATTCTTGGCCCAATCACCGGTGTAAAATGGACCGCTATGTTGGAAAAATTGAACGGCGAAAATTAGTTGAAAGGGACTCTCTGATTATTAGACTCTCTCTATGTGGAGGATTATGGAGTGAAGAAACAAAATTCTCTCACCCAAATAGAACTTGACAGCTTCTATGTAGGACCTGTTTCTGGTGGGCCCAATGTCTGGATCAGGAGATCTGTAACAATCACACAGGAGGTTTGTGGAAACAATGGTGGTTAACGCGAAGGCTATGATAGCCACTGGACCTGCGATCCACCCTAGCTGAGCCGTGCTCCACGCAAGAGAAAGCACACCTGCTCCTATCACTCCAGTTATTATATGCGCCATTGCAGTCCATAAGTTCCCTATATATATAGATAGTTAATATGAATTAAATTAAATAAAATTGTTAAACAATCTACCATTTAAAAAGCGCTTCAAATTATAAATTGTATTCCGATAACTACAGAAAATGTTTTTTGTTAACTGATATTTTAAAAAACATTTTGCTGAAACTATCTGTAAAACAGCTTTCTGTACAATTTTATGATTTTAGCGCTTCTCCGACTAAATATTATATATGGATGTTGAAAAAATAAATATGGACGAAACGCCCTTTTTATTAAATTCGAAACAGCAAAAATTAGATCTGTATTTATTTTATCAGTACCTCAATCTATTGCAAATCTCTTGAAAATAAAAATAACAAGGTAATCAGTCACTTTAATCATAGTAAATTAACTGTAGTCAAAATCATAAAAATAATGTTACCTCTGTATCATTATTTTCATGAAAATAATGAAAATCCGATCTTGAATGTGAGGGGCTCGTGCTCACCAGCCCACCAACCCTTCTCACATTCGAATCAAATTTGTTGGATTTCTGAACCAGAACAATCCCACCATAGGTATACCACGATATAACATTTGGAGTAAACCATCATATATTTATATATAAATAGTCTATATATTATATTTCTAGAGTAAATATTCTTAGTCGATGATAAGAAAATTGTGTAATTAAAAATGTTTTTTTAAGCTAATTAATGGAGAAAGCAAGAAATTAAATAAGAACCATATATATATATATATAAGTAGAAGAATTGGGTGTTGATCGAACAGCTTTAAAGAGGAGCTAACCAGTTCTTTTGAGAGGTTCTTGAGAATCATCAGATGACTGGATTCTTCTCAGTAATGGGCCCTCCTGATCTTCTTTATCTTCGCCACCCATGGTTCTCTAGCTCTCTGCGTGCGTGCGTGTGTGTTTGTGTGTGTGTCAATTGCTATAAGTAGTTGGTCTCTCTCAGTGTCAAACGTTCAGTTTCTGTAAGTAAGTTGTTGGGTAACTAGGTTCATCATTTTAAACAATTATATGCATATAAACTGGTCGTACTGTTGGGATTTATATGCCCTGGCATAGCAAATTCTTATCTGGATTGTATTCACATATGTTCCTGACATATCTGAAATATTTATGATTTATATAATTGGTGAATTCAATGTATTATGTTTCGATTCACTATGAAATTGATAGTGTCCATTTAATTACAAGAAATATTTATATATATGTATGTGATGACAATCAATGCATGATATATAAATAATAATTATAAATTATTCATAGTCAGTAATTATGGATGGACTCATAATTAATTAAGACTTGAACTGGATCCGCGTTAGGTTGAGATATATTGCGAGAGCCGTCGTATGCAATTACTCCCTATTACCGTCATGGCATTTGACTCTTAAGCATGAGAAAAGTATAGACTCTTTTATTAATTAATAATTACTTTGATTTGTTCGGCGGATTCTTCGGGATCCTTAGACCGACACTTTGGGTAGTTATGTAATTAATAGTTAGAGGGTTATATTTTCAATATTTGCATCATTGCTACTTGTATTTATTTTGTATTGATTATGGTTGATCACAAAGTAAATTCGAAGGCCTTCGTGTGGTTTTAGACAAAATGATTTATTATATATTTATTTATTTAAATTATTATTTTTGTCAAACAAATGTTTTATTGTGATCGAGCCAGAAATAATCAAAGGTACCAAAATAAATATATTAATTTAGCAGTCGGATTGATGGCTATATTTATCCGATAACTAATTATGCATAGAGGGGTCAAAGTGCAATATTGACTTAGAGGTTATTTATTATTTAATTGGAGTTCAATTAATTTCTTTTAGTGGAGTAGAAATTAATTTATAAATTAATTGAATTGGGTCCATGGACCGGGCCAATTATTAATTCATTGTAGCCAATAAAATAATAGGCCTAATGGATTCTCACTCATAGCCCAACTTGATATTGGAATCATATTAGATTTGAGACATATGAATTAGAGATGGAGAAGGATTTGTTGTTTCCTTTTCTTTATTTTTATGTTGCCTATAAATATACATGGTCTATGTATATTTTAGGTGGTGATTTTTATGAGAAGGAAAAAAGAATAAATTTTCTCTCTCTAGAAAATTAGGGTTTATGTTCTCATCTAATGGAGGCTCCCACAAGCCTAGTTTTCCAAGGTCATTCATGGAGGCTTATGAGTGATTCCTAAAGGCAAAACCATTACCAAGAAGATGGAGATCCATGGAAAAGATGTCTAGCAAAAGGGATCTACAATAAGTGAGAACATTCACTTTAGAGGAGAGATCTGAGGTTTACTCAAACCTTGATGTAAGTATTCAATCTTTTAGTTGAATAATACATCATATTTTATTTTTTTTTTGCATAAAACTTGTCTCTATGTGATGAATCAAGATCTATGAATTTAAATCCCTCGAAAAGGTTTTAAAATTAGCACGTTTCCCAACAGTGGTATCAGAGCATGGTTTGATTCATTACTAGAGATCATGATTTTATGAAAATCATCATTCATGGATCCAAAATTATATTCATATATATTTTTATTGATGTATGTTGATATATGATTTAATATGTTGATACATATTGATACATAATGATGTATGAATGATTGTGAATGAATGATGATGTATGGTTGGGCCATGGATGAAGCTTATAGGTTAAATTAATGTAATTTTATCTTTGGATGAATGTAATTAAGGCTTTGATTTAGCCGTTTGAAAGTTCAATGATGTAATTAAATTTTTTCCATTGTATTTCAAATTGTAAATATTTTTAAAGCCATGTAATCTTCATCAAAGGGTGCTATGAAGCTTCAAGAAGGTCCAAGAGGGTTAAATTAGGCTTCAGGAATTTTCTGGGATTTTTTAGAAATTTTTCGGAATTTTTCTGGAATTTTTTTTAAGGCCTAATTTAATTTCTGAAAATTTTTATTAATTTTTCTGGATTTTTCGGCGATTTTCCGGCCACCGGAGTATGGCCGGCGACAAGGGACAGCTCCGGAAGGTGGACGGATGATCCGGTGTGGTGCAGTATACATGAGCACGCATCAGCAACCGTCGGATCAAAGTTCAGCAGGGCAAAGATCCAGTGGAACACGGCTGGAAGTTGCCCCATGCACCAGCAGTAGCAAGGCGCGTGCATGACACGCGCCGGAACCACATCAGCGCGCATGGCGCGTGCCAGCGCGTGGAACGCGCTGGCTATTCGCACACGCGCGTGCCCGCGCGTGGGAGCGCGTGGCACGCGCTTCAGCATTCTCCCAGCGCGTGCAGGCGCGTGGGAGCGCGTGGCACGCGCTGGAGACCTCTAGAGACGCGTCCAGGCGCGTGAAGAGGTTGGAAGGCGCGTGGTAAGCGCGTGTTGGTGCGTGTAAGACCATTCAAGCGCATTCGGACCGCCGTTTTGCTTCTCCTGGTGCGTACCAGCCTTATGTGGGTGTTTGCAAGCCGATGGATGATCTTCCCGTGATAGTTAGAGTAGTTAAATGTTAAAAGCTGAATCCATTGGCCATTTAATTTGCTTTATCTGTCATTTATTGTTGTATGTGATGCATGAAATAATTAATTGCTAATTATTATTGTTCATGCATTGGATCCATGATATTTATTTAAATGGCTTGATTTATATTAATTAAATTATGAAAATTAATTGGATTAGATTACTAATTAATTTGAGGGCACTTATTGGGAAACGAAAAATTGTTTTTGTAAATTATTTTTAAAGTGTACTTCAAATTAAATATTAGTGAATCGTTGAAAGTCCAAATATTTTCTAAATTTAATTGGATTAAAATCAAGACGTTTTGCATGCATTATATCATGTAAATGAATAAGATGAAAACCCTAATTATGAATGATTAAAAATTGAGTGGGAGCGGGGATTTTTATACATTGCCCCATGACCTTTGTTATTAACACCATTGTAATTAGATCTTCAAAAATAAGGCCCCACGCATGATTTGAAGAGTCTTAATATTACAAGAATGGTTGTCTCATGAAAATACAAATATTAAATATTCATTGTAATTAGATCTTTAAAAATAAGGCCCTACGCATGATTTAAAGAGTCTAGATTATAATGACAACATATTTAATGTTTAATTTTTCGTTAGAGTTTTAATAACGTTATACACTCAATCTAAAATCAATAGTGTTAGCTTCCCAACGAAGTGGTCTATACTAGGTGATTTTAGAAAGGCTAAATTAAATCAGGAATCATTTCATATGATAGACAAGGCATTGTCTTAAGAGATATGGAAATGATGGGATTTGCCCGCCAATAGCAATAATGAACTTCGCCAACCGAATAAGTTATTGGCGTATTGGTTATTCGATTTTTCATGCAGTGGTTAAGGGACCCACATATTATTATTTTAATGGAAGTGCTCACCTAAATAGTAAATGAATCTCAACAATAGTAATAATGAACTCCTCCAATGGGATAAGTTATTGACATATTGATTGGTTGATTTATTATGCTACAGAGTTGAGGTACCCGCATTAATTAAAAGGGATTGTTTGTCAATAATGATAATGATCTCTTGTTCGATTGAGATTTATTATATTATGTGGTTAACAAACTCATTTTAATTTTAAATATGCATGACATTATTAATAGTTCACCTTGCATATTGTATGAATGCATTTATATTCAGATTAATTATGTCTAATCCAGTTTATCTGCTTGCTTACATATTCTATGATATTGGACCTTATTTATAATGACTGGAAAATGAACTTAGATATTTTATTCACAACGTAAGGGTACAAAATGTGTTTATTACTCCTATACCTATCTCTTTTACTTTGAGATACCAAATTTGACATTAATGCTTTTAATAAATTAGATAAGGCAAATGATATGACTTGGTGCAATATTCTAGAGTTTAGCTCGAATATACTCCAAAGCTAACATTTGTATTATTTTATTTTTTTTCAAGCATCATGTTAAATGTCAATAAAATGTTTTGGTGAGATTAGATAGAGAGTATGCCAAAGTACTATGTCAGACTTGAATAGCATCAAGATAGCCTAAGGAACTCCAGGATGAAACCAAATTTTGAAAAATGATTGTTTATTATTTAAAATTAGCTGGAGATCAATAGAGCTGACTTGGGTGGTAAGTTTCAAGTTGACATGATTATTGTCTTGTTACCAAACTCGTTCGATTCTGTTATAGTGAACTAAATAAGGAATCAGTTTGAGTTCACAGTCGCTGATATTCTTATAGAATTGGTAACAGATAAAGGGATAATCAAGAGTATGGGCGTTTCTATCAATCTAACCTAGTCTATACCATCTTCTTCTAGGCCCAAGTGGACGGGCAAAGCAAAGAAGAAGGATGATAATAGGACTAGGCTAGCACAAAACATAGGTATCAAAAAGGTTAAAGGGAATAAGGCAGTGTATGTTGAGGGCAAAGAAAACTGTTTCTTTTGTCGCTAACTAAGACACTAAAGGACAAACTGTCTAAGCAATGACGTGGCATAGGAAAATATATATTTAATCATTGAGCCAGGTTCTGTGGTTGTATCTATTAATTTCTGATGAATAGATTCTGGAGCCACTAAACATGTTTGCAATTCATTGCACGGATTTCAGGAATCCAGAAGTCTCGATGATATGGAATATATTTGTACTTGACCTGATGTCAATGTTGTAACTAAGTCAGTGGGAGTATTACATCTGAAATTAGAGAGTATGAGGATATTAGTATTAGAGAATTATCTTTATGCACAGAGGTTAGACGCTATCTAATTTTTGTTTCACTTGTGGTTTATAAAAACTGTGTTGTTATTTTCTAAAACTGGTTTTATAAAATTGAATAGATATGCGATTGCTTCTGGTGCATTGAAAGATGGTTAATATACTATAATCACAAGCTCTTAAGATTTGCAGGATGTAGAAACTAATGTTGCATCTTCTAGATTGAATGTTAAGAGAACATTTGTTATTCCTGACTCATTGTATTTTTGGT